TTTCAGTGAGTAGAGTGACTGATTTGAGTGTATGTGTGAAACAGGCCTGCTCTGTTCTGACTGACTGTGTCGTGCCTCATTCAAAACGCACTCAGAGCTGAAACACTCCTTATAACTTCAGCGCGAGTGGGTGGAGCTAAACTGCTGTAGGCCGAATGTGTGATTATACGTAAATGAGTTGTTTCTCATGACATCGCAGAAACAGTGAATTCAGAACGGGCTGTTTTTGCAGTTTGGTTTCCATATATGGTCTGTCTGGATTGAGGAATGAATGGTATGTTTTGAAACATTAACGATGTTCACATACTACTGTAAACTCCTTTACAACAGTGGTTTGGTTTTCCATGATATGAGCCCATATCAAACTAGTGAATCACAGCAAGAACAAGTCTGTCAGAAGTTAATTTCTGAAAAAGAACAGTTTCTGATCAGAAGATCCTCAGCCTGTCAGTGAGAGGAACAACCTGCAGTCCACACTTACAGCTCGTTTTAGCTGTGCACACCGGAAATATATTTAAGGGATGCACAGTGATACTGGAATTACATGGCTATCGGAAGATATAGAGGAAAAAGTATTGACAGAATTCCGTATTGCATGTGTATGTATGGAAGCACAGTCAACAATCAGAATCAGATCGTTTCACACTGATCAAGGTCATGGGAAAAGATTTTAGAGCTCAATTACATGGTAAATAAACAATAACATCCCTCCAAACTGGTCCCTGTGGATCCCAATCCAGCTCAAATGTTTTTATCTATTCTAACGAAGACTCCCACCAACCAGGGCTGGGCAATACGACAATTTGTCATGATAACAATTAAGCAAGAGAACACGAGGGAGTGTGTTACCACGAAATAACGTCACGGCTGTGATTTGGTCGTGATGTTATTCACGATAACACATGACCTCGGGTGTTCTACTGCAATACAGCAGTTAAATAAATAAAGTAAGAAATTAATAAACTGGACTGTGAACGTGTCAATGCGGCATTTAATGCTTTAATGTCAGCAGTTCCTTCCGCCAAATTATATGTCAGAGTAACGAGCTCCGCCCACTCGCTGCTCAGCCGGCAGTTGGTTCTCCAGCTCCTTACACTAAATTCCCAAACTGTCATCACCACTGAGCAGCTTTTCAGTCGGCAGCTGTGACAGAAGAACAGCTAAACAACCTGGAATCAGCCAGAAATGAACCCAACACCATTCGCCAAACGTGTAGTCTGATCTTCAGAGTCTGACCAAATTGGACTGAGCCATAAAACTGCCGCAATATCAGGTTCAGCTCAGTTTTGTCAGTTTTTGCCAGATCAGTATTAATGTTGTTTTGTTCCAGCCAGTCTGTAAAGCATCTTACAGCCCATTTAGTTTGGCGAATGGTGTTGGGTTCATTTCTGGCTGATTCCAGGTTGTTCAGACGTTCTTCTGTCACAGCTGCCGACTGCATGTTTCATTATAAAGAGAGCAAAATTAGTCCCACTTGATTTAGTACAACACAATGTGGCAAATACTGAACGAAAATCACTGTATTCAGTTTTAGATAGCATTTTTAAAATGAACTGCTTCTTTTTTCTCTGTTCCAACTGATCAGTTATCTGAAAAACCGAATAGCGGGACACATCCGCCGTCATGAGGATTTCTTGAAGTATCACAATATTAGATTTTTGCCATATCGCCCATCTCTACCGCTTCCTCTCAAAGTGTGGCTGATATTTCTCAAGTCCAACCAAAAAATTGCTAAAACAATTGCAAATACAAGAAAGATAGTGACAGTTAGATGCTGTAGTATCTTAGAACTTGTTTAATCTAGGATGCCACTTATATGCAGCTGAACAGCAAATGGTTTAAACGCAATGCAGACGGTAAAGAACATTTTAAACCATGATGACAGTGACCAGAGGTGTGCACAGGTTCTCGAGTACTCGGTTAACTGCTTCAGACGCCAGTATTAAAATACGGATATCACTGTTCAGATATTCGTCATGGAAACACAGAGAAAATATACAGGCTAACGATTCAGTCACACGCTGAGTTTATATTTCAACAGGACTGTAAAATGGCTGAAAAAGCTTTATTGCTAACTGCTCTAGCTGATGTCAGCTTGATCAAGGAACAGTGAACATGTATTTCAATATAACTGACAAACTAATTAACATGTTGACGCATCGTCCACTTGTAAAAAGACAAGTCCTCATCAGACTCCAGCGTTGTACCAGCTGGCTCTACAAGTTCACAAGCTCGCCTGAAGAGGCTGCCTCACCACTCACACCAAAATCTACCGATTTCCTTTGAATAACAAACCATGTTTAACCATGTTTACCCATGGCTAACCTACGATTAACCCCCATTAAACTAAGATATTAATGTCACAATTAATTGAAGAATGCATACACCTAAAAGTGAGGGCACCACATGATCCCCAGCTCCACCACTGGAAGTGCTTTCACTCCAAAACTGATCAAATGTAAATATAAATTTAATATAAATCACATTTTGGTTGTAGATATTGAATGAGTGAAACTGATAAACTGCCCTGAAACAATCTCTCCTCTTTAATTCCATCCTCTGACTACAAATCAAAGCCAGTTCAGTGGTTTAAAACATGTCCTCATCATAAAAACTCTTCAAAATAACACACGACACGAAGCACAAAGCCTATGTTTCGCTTTCTTTGTGACTGTTGTGTCATTTTGGAGGCGGCTGAGGAGAAAGAAAGTGACCCTCTAGAATCTTACTAGTCCTAAATGTGCTGAAACAGCGACTGGTCAATATGACAATATGTTATCATTAACATGGTATAATACACACAATGGACCTCTATGTGTATCATATTGAGGTATCAACCTATACGTCTAGAACAACGGACAACTGTGAAAAAAGACAAATTTAGATCCATTATAGTGAGTCTGCAAACCACCACCACCACCGTATAGCAACTAACTAACTGTATTATAACATTATTATTATTATTATTATTATTATTATTATTATCATTGATTCCACTTGCCGTTTTTAGATGAGGAACAACTGTTTCGCAGGTTGATTTTGTCCATTTCACTTTTTCAATACAATATAATAATGATAACACAACACAATACACAAAATATTACAATAACTGTCATATGGTTCACCCCATCATGCATTATGTCCAATTTTCTCTCAAACCCCAAAAAATTGTGACCCATGAAAGTGAAAAGCCTTCAAGTATCAGACGTCCATTCCAATTTGCAAGCCTCAAAAAAATTACATATTGTGTATCATGGATGTTATTTGTGACGATATTTATCATGATAATCAATAACATGTAGGTATACTGCCAAGCAGAACTGTGCATTTTCTATTTTCCAATTTGTTCGCAAACTTCATAAAACTACATATTGTGTATCGTGGTAATGCCTTCAAGTATAGTGATGTCATTTATGACTAAATTCATCATGATACCAATAACGTATCATAACATTGCCCACCTCTATGCTGCATTTTGTCCTTTCCAGCTTGTTCACAAACTTCAGAAAAACTTTTATTGTGTATCGTGAAAAAAATCTTCAGATATTTGTGACAAAAGTGATCAAGGTAATAATAACATGTCATCATATTATCCACCTCATTTGGAGCCTTTTGTTAGTTTTGGCTTGTGAACCTCAGAAAAGTTACATATCGCTGCTGTCGGAAAAAAACCTCGTCATTTTTCAGTTTTTTGACATAATTTGAAAATGCCTGTTGTTCTTTACACTGTCTGTAAATTTCATGAAGAATGGACCAAAAGAAACGATACGGAGATACGAGGTTTTCTTCCAACAACAGCGATATCATGTATCGTGGAAATGCCTTCAAGTACTGTAATGTTATGTGTGATAATATTTACCATCACACTAATGACATCATCGCATTGCCCACTCCTGTGGTGCATTTTGTCCGTTCCAAATCGAAAAACCTCAGAAAACACATGTCGTGATACAAAAAGAGCGTAATGCCTTCATGAGGTTATTCATGAAGCCACTGACCACAATAACAACATATGGTCCTATTTTGTCCATTCCGAAGTGCAAACCTCAGAAAAACACACATCGTGACAGAGGAAAGTGAAATGTGAGATACTATCTTTAAGTATTATGAAATGCCTTCTAGTATCATGATGCCCATTTCAAATCTGCAAAGGTAAAATTACACACTGTATCACGGAAATGCCTTAGAGTATTGTGATGTTATTCCTGGTGCAATATATCATGATACCGATTACACACTGCCCACCTCTGTGGTGAAATCTACACATTATTTCTGCAAACCTCAGAAAAATAACAAATAATGTGACACAAGAAAGTGGAATGCCTTCAAGTATTGCCACAGTGCACACCCTTAAAGGGGAACTCCACCCATTTTTCAAAATTTCTGAATATCTCAGTCCTTGAGATGGAAAGAGTCATTGCTGTGAAGTGGCTGATTGTAGACTCTGATTTCTTTACAGTGGTGAAGATAGGAACCAGGAGTCCTGATGTCTACAACACAAACACGTTTTATTTACTATCCAAAACCACCAACACATGTCTTCTGAGCTTTAATATGTGATGGTTAAAGTCATAAATCTGGTAAAATAGTCATAAATCAGAAAAAAAAAGTTTTCTTCAGGAACTATTTTGCATTACAACGCCCTGCATGTACCTGTCCACCATGAACTGATTCAAATAAATGGATTAAAATGCATTTTGAGCCAAAACTATATCACGAAACTATCATAAAACAATGTGACAGACATCAGGCAGCGTATATCTAACCATTTCGTGTAATAACGTTATCTTTCTGTGAGGGAGCTTTTAGAGGTGGACGTCTGGTTCCTATCACCGCCACTGTGAACAGTTCTGACTCGGCGAGTTTCTCCACAGCGGAGCATTTCACCGCAATCCGCTCTGAACGACTTCGCTCATATCTGAAGGACAGAACTACTCAGAAAGTTTGAAAAAACTGGTGGAGTTTCCCTCAAAACAGTGACCTGAGTAAAGCACACTTACAGCACGCAGAGGGCATAGGCCCCGTTAACGCTCTCGCTGTCCCGCACCAGAAAGCTGCCGTCTCTCCCGGCTCTGGCGAGCAGCTCCTCGGCCGCAGCGCGACTCAAATCCCGGTGATACCACAGCGGAGGAGCCGCCGATCCCAGCGGGGACGCGCCGCCGCCGACGCCGCCTGCCATCGTGGCAGGGCTCGACACACAGAACTACCCCGCGGATATCCCTCCACAAGAGGGGAAACAGCAGCTGTGGGCTTTTAGCGTTCCTCTAATCCAGTCGCCCGAGAGGAAACGTTAATGAAAGAAAAAATAAACACGAGTGAATAAATAACCCGGTCGCCGCGGATGCTAACGAGGCTAACGACCGTTAAAAACTTTCCCTCAGTTCCTGAAAGTCTCCCATCAGAAGAAGCGGAGATTTTCCGCTTTTCCCACGGCGAATAAACACATCAAATCCGACTTGGGAAGTTTGGAAAAGCTGGAAAATCCTCCACCGCGACTTTTAGCCTCTAGCTGCCTAACCTACCATCCCGGTTCACAACTAACGCTACATGTGAGTTACAGTTAACTTAGCGTTATCCCACAGGGATCAACCCGGGCAGCGCTGGGTGCCCGAGCCCGGCTTTCCCAGTTTGACCAACCAGCAAAACACTCCAGAAAGCCGTTCTGCTGTGGTGAAAGTCGCTCTCTAAGCTGGCCACTAGGTTACAGCAGCTGGTGGACACGTCTCATCGCCCCCACACGTACAAATCAATCTCGGACTCCCGAGTAAGCCTGGCTAGGTTAACCACTGAGTGGCTCACGGACTACAGGCAGGCTCCCCCGCTCTGACGGGGCTGAGCTCGGCTTCCTATTCGCCAGCGACTTGTTCGAATTTTCCCGTTCCACCTTAAATGGTGCAGCAGTTCCATTCAGGCGCCACATTCTTGTTCGAATTTTCCCGTTCCACCTTAAATGGTGCAGCAGTTCCATTCAGGCGCCTGAATGGAACTGCTGCACCATTTAAGGTGGAACGGGAAAATTCGAACAAGAAGCCGACTTCAGTTTCATTACTAAAACTATTTTATGTCTTATTTCCCTCTTTGAAAAAATAAAACTATATGTGAAGTAAAAACTCTCCCTTTTAGTATCGAAGCCAAGTAATTTAAGTGTTTCTTTCCACTCCTTTCCTGTTAATCACACAAAATTAATCTAGCTAATAAAAAATACGTTTGTCTAAATAAAAGCTAGTCCTGAATGTCCAATATTGGTGTAGCTCAAAAGCAAATATATATAGGCTTTAAATTGCTTGACGTTACAAACTTCCTGTTTAGATTTTCCCCTCAGCAACTTCAGGCTGCGGGTCGAGCGGCGCGTTCCAAACCGAACACATGCAGCCTACGTAGGGCGCACTTCGAAGGGAGCACGCTCGCCGTAGCCATTTTGGAGTGCCGTTCCAAAGGGAAGCGGCGATAAACAGTGGCTGTGTCTCAAATCGAGCCCTCGGCCTGTCCGTAGTGAGTTGCTAAGTGCTGAATGGAAGTGAGTGACCCTGTTAGATCATTTAGGGCAACTACATTTAATGAGGCACTTAAAGGTTAGCATCCATGCTAAAAACACCAGTACTTTGTACTGGGAATTGGCTTTTAAACTTTTAATGGTTTCTATGATTTACATAATTTAGCCTCATCTTACGATCATGTTTTCGTAAAACAAAACCCAGCATGTTGTTGCGCAAATACACCACATCAACCACTGGAAACCCCCCTTCACGGCTATAAAGAGGCTAATAAATAAAAATGTGATGTTCAGCTTATTAGCATTGTGAGTGCTCCGGCTTCCCTCTGCTTTAGGCAACTAGCAGAAAGTAAAGCACATTTCAGTACAGCTCATCTCAAAAAAGCAGTCCTAGGTTTAAAAACTCCTCCCACCTCCAAGATATGTCATCAGAAGGGGCTTTTTGTAGTCTTAAAACTGGAAAATCTCACAACAGAGACTGCTGCAGCACGGCTGTAGGAGGACCATGCATGTTTACAATAGATGTAGAAACGCTTACATTTTTCATTTTTTGATCAGAGTGCCTCTTTAATCCGGGAAAGCCAGTCATCTCAAATGGAAACAATTTTAGTAGTGAGCCAGTTTTTTACTGTCTGGCTGCCTGACATTAGCAAACTGTAGGCCGTGTCAAGCACCCTAATGGCAGGGAAAAGGACACCTTACTGGTCACTTTATTAGGTACACCTCCTTGTTTCTACGCTCATCATCCATTTTATCAGCTACATTTATCATATTGGAGCACTTCGTAGTTCTACAATTGTAGGCTGTAGTCCATCTGTTTCTCTGCATGCTTTACCCCATCAATGGGACCACCAGGACCACCAGTGAGCACATTATTTTGAGTAGTTCTATTTTTATTATGAAAGCTACATTTAGTAACTGGAATCAAACCTTAACTTAAACAGGAAAGAGATTAAAATGGCTACTAAAATTCTGAAATACATAAAAAAATTCTGAAATTTACATGCACATCCCCGCTTGGTGTATCCAACAGTGGAAAAATAAGAGCAACAGTGACACCTAATGGTTATTTTCATAGCTACATTTATAACCGTTAAAGGAGGCCTTTGCTCCTTTTTTCAATTAAATCTAGTTGTGCATGTTCCCAATGTGTAAACCCAATGAAGGCCTTAATTTACAGATCACCCCCTGAGTGTTGATTTTATATGCTAATAACCACTGCCCTAATTGGTTGTCTCAGTTAGAGGGGGTGATTTAAGGGGTGTGGTCACCGTGCCATGTTTGAGAGCTCAAAAATGGCTGCTGAATTTTTATTTTAGTGATTTTTAGTCACGTTGTGCATGAAAGACAGCATGTCACAGGAGTGACTTCACAGATGCTGATTGTTTTATGAGAAACAACAATTTTGATGCTTGTTTTTCAGTTTAAATTGTAAAACCGGATTAAATAACTGACAATTCAGTGCCACAATTATTTTAAAATAATAATTATTTTAATAATTTTATTATAATAATTCTAAGGTTGTCACAAGATTTTGTAAGAGTTACAGAAATAAAATAATTTTTAAAATTTTTTAAAAAAGGTCTACTTGTAAAGACTAACTCTGAGAAGTCCACAGATGGTGAAATCTACTTTTATATTTCTGCTAATTTTGGGTAAAATACTGTCAGCTTCATGTGTGACAAAAATACTGTCACGGTGGTGTTACTCACGAAACATATGTGATTATAAAATTGAAATAAAATAACAACATGAATGCAATAAATACATACAATGTGACTTTTGTGGTGGGTCATTTTCTGAGTATGCTAATTACCACTGCTCTAATTGGCTGTCTCATGACCATATATTAGCCAGGCATGCCATCACACAGCGATGTTTAATGCAGAAGCCTTGTAAACCTTGTAACTGCTTTCAGCTCAGTTTTTGTTTACATGTCTGCATGGCTAAGACAGATTTGTCTGTCAAGTTAGCATCAAGCTAATGCTGGTAAATGCCTTCATTTCACAGGAGCTCAACTCAAATACAGACATTTGAAGCTCGTTGCAGTCATTAAAGTCATTTATTCTTTACTTTGATTGTTACAGTTTGGATGTTGATTCTTTCAGTGTAGATTTAAACTTAAAGCCGGCCTCTGTATGTTACTGGCGCCTGTTAGCACAGCTACCAAACTCTAGCGAAGACAGAACATGAGTTCAATTAGCACTTAGCCCAGATAGCAAGAGGATAACAGGCCACTGTTGACCCGCTGATGGCAAAGCTAGTGGCCGACTGGCTTTTTGTTCAGCATTTTCTGGGCAGCCCACTGGTGGTTAAGCAAATATTAGACAAAATTCCACTTTTCAGCGCTCGTTTTCCACTCAGAGTCCAACTGACTTATTTTTCCTTCCTTTCTTTCTTTTATTATACTTTGTAAATTAAATTAGTGAATAATTTTAGCAGGATTATCATCCATACAGCGGGTTATAGAGCTGCAATCTTGCACAGTATCAGCATTTTCCAACAAAATCATTTATATTAGACCTAGTCGTTAAATATTTAAAAAAAAAAAAAACTAGTTTGACCCTGTGTGCAGGACAGTAATCTGCTTGGTCCACACTGTGGTCAGCGAGGTGCTGACCTTATTAAGCCAGCAGACAGATATATGGGTCATTCTCCGTTTGGAGGGGAAACCATGTCACAAAGGCTGCAGGGCTTAAAAAGATGCTTAAAATATGAGGCACAGCTCCAAAAGTCGGTCTGTACATTTACACAGTGACCTAAGATTAAATATTACTTTTCTTTTATGATTCTCTGGTTTTTCTTTTTTTATCCTGTTTCAAAGTTGCTCTGCATCTGTAAAACAGCTCGAGAACCCAGTTTTAATATATAACAATATGTTTAACTTGGGAACTTGTATTAAACAGATTCATGTTTACTCTTTATATCATTAATGTTATACTACATTTTAAAAATATGTATTTTATATAAAAAATTCATTTGTCACAGAGATTTTGGTCACTGCTGTTATCAGGACTCATATATTACATTTTAACACAGTATTTAACTCTATTAAACTGCTTCTTTGGGTCGAGGCTCATCAGAGAGGAAGCATCTCAATGCGTGAGAAGGTGAGTCCATACTTGCTGATTATATTGCAGGAATTTATTAATAATTTTGTTTATCAGGCAGCTCATAACTTCTATGTGTCACTGGTGGTATGAGCTCTAATGGCTGGATAACGAACATTTTGTCAAAATATTGCCAAATATATGTAATTTTTATTACTGATTTCAAATAGTTGCACAAGGTCACCTGACGGTCAATGAGTCAAAATCCTCAGTTTTAACCAGAATGTCTCTGGAGTCACAGTCACTGGTGTTACACCATATTCATACAACACCAGTGACTGTAAAATATGTTTGGAATTAAGCTTTCCTTTCTGCATATATGATAATATGAGATGTTAATGCACATATTAAGTATTATTTAGTTCTGGGATCAAAGAAACTGATTTTTAAAAAATGTATCCACCTGAATTCCCCCAAATGGAGAATGACCCATGATATGCTTGCTATTTAGGGAAAGCATGTTAGCATCAATAGAGAAGAGTCTGATGAATTAGGCAGCAACACAGACATTTAATGTTAGTAAACTGTGACATTACATCATTCTTTTACACAGTTCTGTCTAACAGACACTTCACATTTCACAATTTTGCCGATGGTAGCTAGAAAGGAAAATGCAGTGTTGTTTACTACGTCTCCCCTAGTGGTAAAAAAGCTAGTTCCCCCCAAAATAACATGATTTTCTTTAATTTAGTTGCACTGTTCTCTAATGTGCTTTACCTCAGAGAGATAGTTCGCCTACATTCTCTATCTAAATATGTGTTATTTTGAACAGAATTAAACAGGGAGACATACGAACACAATAAAAAGCAGAACCCTTTTACTGTCCTTCCCTTTTGTTTTATTGATCTCAGTGCAGGAGTGTCGACAGAATGACCGCGAGGAAGAGTGTGAGGCCCATGGCGGTTTCAGGGGCTCGGTTGAGGTAGTATTCTGCAACCTTTTTGTTGGGGTTGGGCCCGGTGAACCACATCTGCATGCAGCGGCCGCTGTCCTTGGTGAGCGTGGTGTACTTGTAGGAGTTGGTCCAGATCTTCTCACACATGCTCTTAGCGTCGGGGAAGACCTCGGTCCACTTGCGGCACTGAGCGTCCTTAGGGCAGTGATTTACGCCTGCAAAGGAGGGGCATGTGAACCATTTTCACATTGTGTTTTATGGGTCATTCTACTGTTGCGGTGGCAAATGGTGTCCCACAACTTTGAAGCCATGAAAAGTAGCTCAAAACAAGAATAAAGCACAGGAAGTTCACCTCTGTGTGGTTTTTGTTCAATCCCAACATTAACAAACATAAAACAATGATTATTCTTATTTTTTAATTTTTAATTTAGTGATTTTTAGTCATCTTGTGCGTGAAAAACATCATGTTATAGGAGTGACTTCACAGATGCTTAAGTATTGTTTTTTTAAGAAACCATAATTTTAATGTTTCTTTTTCAGTTTCAGTTGTAAAACGTATTAAATTATTGTCCGTCTGACGCTACAATTGTTTTAAAACATACACATGTGATTCTAAATTTAAGATATACTAAAAGATAACGGTTCTATCTGGAACCATGAACACTCAAAGAACTCTTTGCATGATTAAAGGGTTCTTTGCATTGTGAAAGCGTTCCTCAGATTGATGGAGAATGAGCTATTGATAGTTCTATATAGTAACTACATAGTTCTATATTGTACAATATATTGTAACAAGCCTGACATCATAACAACAGAGAAGAACCATTTTTGAACCCTTTTTGGTGCTATATAGAAACCTTTTTAAAAAGGTTCTATTATGCAGAGAACCCTTTATTCATGGAAAGGACTCTTTGAATGTTCATGGTTCTATATAGAACCATTTTCTTTACGAAAGAACCACCTTTTTTCAGTGTGTAGCATTAAGATGAAGTGAGAAAATGAGTCAGATACCCATTTAAACTGATCTAGTATCAGATTTTCTATGCTCAAGCCATGAGAACAATTCTCAGTCTATGACAGTCCTGCAGGGGGCGCTGCAAGAGTATGATATTGAACCATAGTGATACACTGCCTTGATGTAGCGAGCAGTGATGTGAATTCCAGCTTATCTCAGTGAGTTAGATGACTTCAGCTCACTAATAAATGCTGGTGTAAAAAAAATAGCTGACACTGTCAAAAGCTGATGGGTCACCTTCTAACACCCATGTGTCAAATACAAGGCCCGTGGACCAGATCCGGCCCGCCACACAATCCTGACCGCAAAAGCATTTTAATTTTCGGTCTCACTTTATTTGGATAGTCCACTATAGTCCTCTATAGATTATCTACAGATGTTCAAATTGTTTATAAACTATCTGTTGAAACTCTGTTGATTCTAAACAGTAGTGGGGTTAGGGTTAGGATTTGGACCGGAGAGGTCTGAGGTAACTTAGTGTGGCTAGTCTAACCATGCTAGCTGTTAGAAAATCATTAGAAAACGTGTTTCTCCGGCTCAACGTTCCAACAACAAGCAAACGTTTCCACATTATTCAGATAATTTACCTTCTGTAGGCCTTCTCACTAAGCTAACGCTAGCCTCTAGTGCTAATGAGGATCTTGAAGCAAATGTAGCTTAAGCTAACAGCTCCACACACAAAAACAGGTTTACCTGCTCAGATATGAGTCAATTTTCAAAACCTCGGTGAGCCAGAATGAACGTGTGGTGTGGTAAATGTGTAGCATGCTAAGCTACTGCAGGAGAACGTTACACGCTACTAGAACAGCCCTACATCACATTTGACGTTCTATTACATTGATGTGGAAATGTGGAATATACATTTGACACCGTTGTAATTTTAATACCAACATCATTTATGTATTTTATCTAACAACGTACTGCACCGTCCAAACATTTCAAACAAGCACAGGTTAGCTGTTAGCGAGTTTCCTGTCTCCATGTCGTAATCTTCGCAGTAGCATATTTTAGTATATTGGACCAATACTGTATTTTTTCTTTAATCACTGAGAAAGCCTGTGTTTTTAAAGGACAAATCTGCACTTTGATAACACATTTGATACAAATATCAGTCTACATAATTATAATAAGCCATCAAAGAGGAGATAACCATTTAATAAACACATTTTTAGGAGGTCTTTAACTAGGCTGTTATGTAGCACTAGCTAAGCTTTCCCATAACAAATGGAAGATTTTCATTGCAGCTAAGATTGGATGGAATAAATTGCAGAAGGAGAGAGAGGACACACCTGAGCTCCAGTCCCAGCCTATGTGCCAGTTGTCTTTGCAGGTAAAGTCATCTTTGCAGTCTTTGTACCAGCCCTCACAGTCCTCCAGACACAGCGGGACATCAAGTATACGCTCCTTACGCCAAGAGCTGTCTACCTGCAAACACATATACATACTGTATGTAACAGGATGCACATACACATTCAGACGTACTCAGACACTGCAGTTTGTTCATTACAGTAAACTCTAGAGATGAAATATAATGGAGTTTTTAACTGTCAACATACTGTCTTTTATAGACACTCTGTATTTGCCAGTTTTGTAGGAATGTACCCATTATTAGACCTAAAAGGGCCCAGACACTACATTTTCCTTTTTTCCTGTCAGGTCCAGTTATGATATTTCTGTGGTTTTATTTGTCATAATTCATTTTTGCACAACCTTATTACCACAGCTCTTTAACCCCCCAATAAAACATGCTGTTTTTGTTACTGTGTCTTAAATGAGTAGAAGCGTCTCTGTCGGATCAAAACATGCATAATTTGAAAATGACAACTTCTGTTTTACACTGTGTCAAAATGTCATGATAAATGGATCAATAAAATGATCTAAAATGACTTAGAATAAAATCTTATTACATTCATTTACATTCAAAGTTAAGATTTTTTTGGAGGTATTAAGTTTTGTTACACGTCAACAGTATGTAAACGATCTCTGTTTTGATTGACTGCCTTGTATTTTGCCTCAGTCTAAAAGCAGTCCAGGCTGGAACACTTCTTATAACTTCAATGTGAATGGGTGGAGCTAAACCGCTGTAGGCCGAATAGGTGTATTTATGCAAATGTGTCCAATGTCCTTGCCACTGTCACCTCTGGCTTGCTCATGGGGGCTTGGACCCAGATTTCTTTCTGTAATGCTGATTTCCTTGTAAAGCTGCTTTGTGACAACACCTGTTGTAAAAAGCCCTATATAAATAAACTTTGCTTGCTTGCTTGTTTTTGCAGCTTGTTTCCATATCTGGACTGTATAGTCTGAAATGCTACAACCTCATATTTTTAGGGGCTCAGAAGTGATTGTGGAATTGGCCAAGTGTGTGTTATCCGCTCACTATTTCATTATTTTACAGGTAAGGAGATAAAAGGCCCTGAGCTGATTTCATGTGTGGCATTTGCGTTTGGAATCTGTTGCTGTTTACTCTTAATATGAAGTCCAAAAAGCTGCCAGTAAGGCAAGACATCATTAGGCTGAAAAATCACACTGGATCAGAAACACAGAGAGGCCCTGAAATCCACAGAAAACACCTGTGGTGGACACTGGAAAAATTATTTTGCAGGTGAAGAAAAAGCCCTTCACAACACCCTCCAGGAGGTCAGCACATCTGGGCCAAAGGCAACAATCAAGAGAAAACTACAGCAGAGTAAATACAGACGGTTCACCACAAGAATTAAAACACTGATAAGCCTCAAAAACAGACAGAGCAGATTAGAGTTTACTAAAAGGAAAGCAGAACTTTTAAAAAAGCTATATACTAAAGCTAAATGCTATAATTATTCATCTATTGCACAAAAATAAACTGTATTTCACCCCCATATATATGAGGTGACTGACAATAAAGTTTAGTTTAACAGGAAATAATGCATTTAAATGCAGAAATACATTTGAGAGAATCACATTAAGAAACATGCAAACTGGAAGACACCAGTAGCTTTAGACCAAACTCACTGATCACGATAATGACATTTTAGCTGATGAGTAACTGCCATAGAAATCATTTAGATTATTTAATTCATCTGTGCTTAAGTAAATAATACTTAATAATCATACTTAGTAATACGAAACTACCTCTCAAAGAAACAGCTCAAGCTCATTACCCACTGCTGCCCTCTAAAGGTGCTATTAACAAACCTCAACTAAACAAACGTTACCCACTGCCGCCCTCTAAAGGTCTTATTAACAAACCTCAACTAAACAAATGTTAATCACTGCTGCCCTCTAAAGGTGCTATTAACAAACCTCAACTAAACAAACGTCACCCACTGCCGCCCTCTAAAGGTCTTATTAACAAACCTCAACTAAACAAACGTTAATCACTGCTGCCCTCTAAAGGTGCTATTAACAATCATCAACTAAACAAACATTACTCACCACCGTTCTCTCTCCAAAGGTGTTATTAACAACCTCAAATAAACAAATGTTACTGCTGCCCTTTAGTTATTTCCATAAGACCCATGATGTGTTTCTATAAATGTGCTTTGTTTTATATCCCTCAACCCAAAAGATGAAAATGCACCCAAACATATGATTGTGAAAGGTAACAACTGTAGAAAATAACTGCAATCATCTCAAATAATTGCAGTCAAGTGGTTATGTAACAATTATGACGAGATGGATTTCAGTCCTCAACCTTAGACTAGGTTTACATTACACAGTGAACATCAGGGCTGTCAAAATACAACTTAAAATTCAAATCCCTGTTCAGTTCAGTGAGAAAATGTAGGAAATGCTCATTCAAATGGATGGATCCAAACATAGTAGCTGAGGCTTTGACTAAACTGCACTGCCAATGGTGAGGTTTAGGCTTAATAAAGGTCTGGGAAACTGGGCCCTAAGCATTCAGAAAGTGCTGTGGGGTTCTTGTTTCAGCACCAGCTTGTGTAAATAAGGACACTTAACACTGACGTCTATCTCCACAACAATTAAACTAGTTTTTTTTTGTTATCTGTGCATCATACCTGCTGTATCCAGGGTCCCAGATGTGGAGAGCACTCATAGAAACACGTGTCCTGGATAAAATGAGTCTTGCACTTTTCACTCATGGACCCACAGTGGTTCCAGTTGAAGTTGTAAAGGTAAGAGTTGTCCTCGTGTGCTTCCGCTGAAGTGTTGGCAGTGCAGCATGCGTTCTCATGCCAAGGAGCACACTGTAGGGGAAGAGGGGGGGCGTGAAAGAGATACTCATAGAGGCCTCGTTCCCCCAACCGAGCGAGGCTGTTTTACTGGATACTCTATCTTTCATAACATTATCTTTGGAACATGCTTAATTTTTCAAACAAACACTGATATATATATATATATATTTCAAGCAAGAGCAGTCTTAATATTGTCCTAAAGCACCTTATACAATATTAAATAAACATACTTTATCATTTGAGTAGTTATCATACAGTTTACACAGTTTCAGGTAAGTCTAAGTTGCTATCACTGCTACATATTAATGAAAAAGCAGGTCAAAGTTCAGCAGTGAGTAAATGATTTGTGACTTAATACTGATAAAAATAAGGCCTTACTACATCGTCTCAATATGTCTCCTTAGACGTAATGTTCCATAGTGTTTCATATACACCTTGTAGATGTAAAGTCAGAGACGATAGCTCATCTGCTGCTGCACAGTTTGTGTTGGTATTTTGGTTGATATTTTTGGTTGGTGGACTATTCTCAGTCCAGCAGTGACACTGAGGTGTTTAAAAACTCCAGCAGCACTGCTGTGTCTGATCCACTCTGCAAAGCAGAAATCTGATTACTGCCTGACTCATGTAGACTGAGTTTTCCCATTATCTGATTACTCCAGCATATGTAAACACATTGATCAGATTACTGACAATGTCTGATTTTCTACAGTTGTCGGATTATTAAGTGCATGTAAACGCACTCAATGTCCTCGAAGCAAACCCTGTATCTCCATTTCTGTCATTATTTTAGAAGAAAATTTGAAAAATCAGCTTCCCTTCACAAACAAGTTTTCGTTAAATGGAGCAACAAAAGTGCTCTAAAAATCTTGTGCCATTAATTTCCATTCAAAGTTAAGAACGTTTTATCTGTCTCCTGTAAAGTTACCATTTTAGAGAGGTTTCTGTCGCGACAGCAGCGATATATTCTATATTGTTTACTTAAAGGAGAATTCCACCAATTGCATAAAACCTTCCACATAATTACTCTGTCAGGGTGCAAACAATGTCATTCAGAGTGGTTTAATTTGAAACACTGTTCGGGAGAAACTAGAGTCAGAATGTGGCAGTGATGGGAACCAGTCACATCACAGTGGTGGTGATAGGAACCAGATGTTCAATGCCTTTAAAATCTTCCTCAAATCAAGTTATCACACAAAATGGTGATGAATATGTTGCTTGATGACTTTATACATTGTTTTATGATAGTTTTGATTAGATTTTGGCCTAAAACATACATTTTTGAAATCCATTCATTCAAATATTTTTTTCAGATTCACAAAAAGAGCAGCTGCTGTGTTCAAATCATATAGAAAAATAAAAATCAAAATAAGCTGAGAATTTTTTTTGTGGACAGCGACGATATCCAGTTCCATTTTGAGCTTTGTGTTTGTGCCTTTTTACCACAGTAGTATTTGTAACAAGCTGGCACGACTTACGCAACTGCTGAGCTTGCAGATTTGGAAAACAATGATTACCTTCTTAGACTCTGACCGTACGAACGTGAGATCAACATACGCAGTGTGTGGGGGTTGGGAGGGTGGGGTTGTATTTAGCTGTTTCCTGTGGGTTCCCTCTCATGTGTACCTGCTTGTAGAGTTCCCCTTCTGGGCCTGGTTCTTTTTTATGGTGTTTGGCATCCATGCACATGTTCAGTTTATCCAGACAGAGACAACATGGCACAGCTATCAGCAAGGCCAAGGCCAGCAATGCTCTAGAGACAGGAAAAAGAAAAAAACAAGCAGGGGGGATGGAGAGAGTAAGACAGAGAGAGAAAGATCAAATGAAGGCAACACACGTTCATTTTTTATGCTTTTAACTAAAGGTGCCAACTATGTACTGTAGAGTTTCAGCTCCAACTCAGATCTTAGTCTTGCGTCTAACGTCCCAGTCAAGAAGTCATCGACTACTATTATTTTTGTGTGACGTAGGAGGATTATATTAGATCCTAGCCATCCAGCAAAAGTCCCTCTACGTTCAAAGAGATGTTTTCAGTCTATAAAGGCTTCAACAGGTATACTCAATAGGACCTTGAGTCCAAGTACAGTGTGCATTCCAAACAATGCAGCTGCAAGTTAATATGAGTTATTTCCTTGAAACATTGACTTAATATCTCAAAATAATGACGGATGTTCTCGAAATATTATCTTCCTTAGAGATTACTGTATCGAAAAAACAGGTTTTTACATTTCAAGTCATTATTTTGAAAAAACTTTTTATGAAATAAGTCATCATTAGTGTCATTATTTTGACAAAAGTCAATATTTTGAGAAAGCTAGTTGTTATTTTGAGTCAAGTCAAAAAATTTGACATTTCTGCTGCCAGAAACAGAAAAGGGAAAAAAATTCAGCAGTAGGCAGTGTTCTCCTCTACCTGGTGAAACATAAAATATTAATATAATTAATATTAAATATTCAACAAAATAAGTAATTATTTTTGAAATACTAATTCAATATTTAGAGAAAATGTCATTATATTAAAATATTTTCTAAAAAGTTATTTTTGAATATACTGAGTCATTTTTTTAAAGACAAGTCATTATTTCAAAATACTATGTCAATATTTCAAGGAAATTGGTCATTATTACAAGATATGGTAAATATTTCAAGAAAATGTCCATATTTCAAAATACTTAATATTTTAAATAGTCATATTTCAAGATATCAAATTAATATTAAAAAAGTAATTATTTTGAGGTCATTCTAAATTATTTGAGAAAAGAAGCAATTATTTTTGAGATACCAATTCAACATTTAGAGAACATTTTTGAATTTTTTTAAAAAAGTCAATTTTTCATGAAAAATCTTTATTTCGAGATATTAAGTCAAAATTTGAGAAATCGCCCATATAAGTAATTATTTTCAAGACACTAATTCAATATTTTGAGAAAATGTCATTATCTTGAATTTTCTTTAAATATTATTTGGAAACACTGAGTCAGCATTTCAAGAAAAGTCATTATTTCAAGAAATTAAGTCAATACTTTGAGGAAATGGCCTTATTTCAAGATACTAAGTCAAGATTTTGAGAATATTAGCCATTATTTCAAGATATTAAGTCAATATTTTAAGATGTCCTTATTTCAAGATAGTAAGTCAATGTTTTTAAACAGTCTTTTTTTAAAGATTTCAAATTCATATTTCCAAAAAGTAATTTTTTGAGGTCATTCTAAACTATTCAAGAAAATAAGTACTGACTTTTCAAGATACTAATTCAATATTGAGAGAAAATATCATCTCAGAATATTCCAAAAAAAGTTTCTTGGAAATACGGAGTCAGTTTTTCAATAAAGGTCATAATTTCGAGTCATTGTTTAATCTGGCTTGGCGGTGAGCTGAAGCCTGCATGGTGCTCAGCGTTGCTCTTAAACACAGTGAACTGCAATGCAGTCCTGCTATGTTGCATCATTTTCTCCTGAAAGCAGGTTTTCTGCCCTCTTACCTCGCGGGTAAAGCCGTCTGGTCCTCCATGCTCGGTCTTCTAGTTAATTTACCGCTTTAATGAAGGTGAAATGTTTCTGTGAAATTCCTCCGATTAAAGCGCTAATGGACCCTGCTGGACGGCGCCCGGGCGCAGTGTTCGTGTTTTCCCGCTCGGCCGCTGCTGAAAGTGCTGTGGAAGTGAGACGTTAGGAGGAGTCGAGGGGAGAGAATGAGGAGCCCTCTCAGCCCCGCGAGGCTTTTCATTACCAGCCACGCGCCAAACCCTTTATTAGCCTTTATTATCCCCGCATAACGTTTTACGACGGGTTGTGTTGGGAGTGTCGGTGATCGAGCCATTACAGTTTACTCCACTTTCAAAGGCGGCGGCTGAGGAGCGGGAGGCTGTGACGGCGGCGTGATTCGCCATAAAACGGCTTTAGGAACGAACGGGGCGAGGTCACGGCACCATTTAAAGTGGAACAGGGACACTCGGACAACAGGCTGCCAGAGCTTCAGCCTCGTGTTTTAGTGGTGGACTCTTCTGGCTTGTGGTTGAGGGTTTATGAACCTTAACAGGCTGGGCGGGGTGAGAGAGACGTGCGCTTTAAAGGGACGCTTTAAACTCCACCGAATTTTCAAAATTTGTACATAACTTATTCATTAAGATTGATATAAAATAATACATTCATTTCCTGAACACAGAATAGCATAAAACATTTCAGCACCACTGTTATATTTTAAGAGCGTTTCAACTCGAGTTATAGGAGTTTAAAACAGCGCCATATTTACGTTTATGACATCAGTGAGTGCGAACAGCCAATGAGCTGCTCCGCTCGCCAGCCAATCAGCACTCAGTAGCAGTAATTCCAACCAATCAGCACTCAGTAGCAGTAATGTAAAGTAAAGGAAACATACTTGTGAGGATTCTTTGTGTTTTTTTTTAGTGAAATACATCCGTCTACTTTCTAAAAGGAAAGTTGTGGGCAAGCGATTAGAAACTATTTTAACTTGTAGCTTTTAGCCGTTGAGCTCCATTCACCCCATTCCTTGAGGACTCGCTCGTGGGCGCCCTCTGCTGTTTTGCAGTCATGTTTTTGATATAACGGAAAAAATAGGAAGAGGCCAGACTCCTCATAAACCGACTTTGGTCGTACCAAAAATAGTACTCGGTTCCAGGAACCAGATTTGCCTAATGGTAAAACAAAAAAGCAAGTAGAGTCGAGTGGAGCCGGTACCATGCAGTGGAAAAGCTGTTCACCGAAAGCTGTTTCATGAAATGGTTACGAAAACGGTGTGTGATGCCTGAGATGTTGTTTTACTGTAAAGATTTGGCCCAAAACTTGATTTTTAAACCTATTCTCAGAGGCAAGAAACATGCAGGGTTTTGTAAGGCAGGTAAAACTGTATTTTTTTGGATTTACCACTTTTTGCCATCATCAATAAAAACTCAGAGCAGGTGTGTAGGTTCACTGGTCCATTTAGATAGTAAATAAAATGGTTATATTTCTTTTAAACTCATGGTGACCTCTAGTTCTTATCAGCACCACTGTAATCAGAGTCTGTGTGTTTCTCTACAAACGAACCATTTCACATCAAACCACTCTGACTGTTTACATCTTAAGGGCTGAATTATTCTGAAATTTCAAAAAATTGGTGGAGTTCACCTTTAAGGCCACGCATTGCTTCTTTTTCCATTCAACTTTTTCTTTTTTCTGCACTGCCTTTGCTCTGCTGACAGTTTGGCTGGTCTTATGGCCTCCTTGGTTTTTAATATGTTACTATGCACAAACCTCAAATTCATAAACAGTAAATGATTACATTTTACTCTATTTCACACACACTAGCTAAGTTGCTTATCCTCTGGGTCACAGGAGTCTATCCCAGCAGTCATTGGGCAGAAGGCAGGAAACACCCTGGACAGGCCACCAGTCCATCACAGGGCAGACACACTCACACTGGGGGCAATTTAGTATCTCTCATTCACCTGACTGCATGTCTTTGGACTGTGGGAGGAAACCCACACACATGCAGACTCCATACAGAAAGGATCCTGGTCATCTGACTGAATTGAACCCAGGCCCACTCCACCACCATGACGTGCTGTATTTTACACGTGTTCATTCTGACAGCTTCCCAAACACATCCACTGCGCCCATATAATGCTGCACTACAATAAATAATATTACAGATGCCCTTATGAGTGTGAGTAGGTGGTGGTAGTATAACGTAAAATGAATACGGAGTCATTGTAGTCACCACTGACAAGTTGGTCATACAAGCAGCTCACCAATCAGAAACAAATAACAGTGCAGAAGCACGAACTGCCAGCCAGTCAGAGCTCAGGAGGCAAGACCTGTGGGAATATGAATGGGGGCAAAAGGACACACGTTTTTGTTTTTTTTTTCTCAAATTATCGGCTTTTGTCCAAATAATGACTGTAATAACGACGTATCTCATAATAAAGACTCCCCAAAATAATGACTTACTGGAAATGTAATAGTGTGTTATTTTGATATAGTCATCTTAAAAAAAACGAGTCGTTATTATTAGCCATTATTTCAGTTTCTTTTTCAAATTAGTCATTATTGTGAGATTTTAAGTCAATATTTAAAAAAAAACATTACTTTGAAATATTAAGTTAATATTTCGAGGAAATTAGTCATTACTTCGAGATATTAAGTCAATATTTCACGAAAGCGTTCTTCAAGTGCTCTGTAGTAGAAAATGGTTCTATGTACCACCATGAACATCCTATTCAAGAAGCAGAACCACCTACAGCATATTCTCTATCAATCTGAAGAACGCGTTCATGATGCAGAGAACCTTTTAATCACGCAAAGGGTTCTTTGGGTGTTCATGGTTCTATTTTCTTTACTAAAGAACCCTTTAAGAATTTTTAAGAGTGTTCTTTTCAAGTTAGAGCCTTTATTTAGCTATTCTATATTTTAAAGAATATACGAAACATACAACCAACGTCAGACCAATACATTATCAGATACCATATAAAAATATGTGAACAGTACAAGAGGATGCATACATACACATATACGCGTTAATTTCTTTCTCCTTTTTTGCACTGATGACGCGACAAAACCGTTAAAACGGTACACTACGGTGCTTTTGTGTGAAGCTGATCTCGGTCCAGCCCGATCTACCCCAGTCTCCATAGCAACGACTACAAGAGGCCCTGAACAGCTGATCACAGGTCAGCGAAACCTCTCCGCCGGGAAACACGGCGGAACCAGTTGCGCAGAGTTCACTTTTCCGGTGGGAAGAATTTAGTCAGAGCGCAGCGTTCGCTTCAGCTGGAGAATTTGAATTTTGAGTTTTGGTGTTTTGCCCTCTGAGGAGAAACCCGGCCCACAGGTAACGGTAAAAACGAGACAGTGTAAAAATGTGATTAGCAGACCCGTAAAAACGGTGCGGTGCGGTGCGGTGTGGAAGACGCGCACAGAACCGCTTAAACGAGCTCCGCTCGGTGTTTGGCCGCTGTTGACGGTTAGCTGTGGCGTTAGCCTGGTGTCGGTTAACGTTAATCTAATAACTCTGTATGGCTCTAATGTCGTTTTCTGAGGGGTTTGGTGAGGACAGGACACAAATTTAGGTCGCTGACTTACCGTAAAATCAGCATTAAAAAGTTAATGTCAACTTCTTATTCACCAACTTCTTGGTCGAATTTTCCCGTTCCACCTTAAATAGTGCAACAGCTGTTATAACTTTCCAGGCGTCAGACTGTAACTGCTGCACTGTTTAAGGTGGAACGGGAAAATTCAACGAATAAGTTGGCGAATAGGAAGCCAACTTAAGCCTCGTTAAAGAAAAGCATTTATATTAGTGTTTTATGCTTCAGAAATTATAAATATCTATACTTTCGCTGTTTCTAAAGTCATTACCACTGACTGTGGAGCTGTGGAGGAGCGGAGGAGGTCAAGCAGTGAGGTTATTTTTAATGTCCTCTTTATTATAGGATATGAGGCTAATGATGAACAGATGAACCAAACCCATATTTTCCAGTAACGATAACTAAGCTAAAGCATCTCTTATAGACCATGTAGGAAGCTCTTTAAAGGAAAAGTACATAAAATAATACATGGATAATTGAAGTTATGTATGAAGTATCAGTATCAACACATCCTTCACATTTGTATTATTGGGTTAGATTTCTCCACTTAAAACTTGCCCAGATGTCCAGGAAATGTGTAGCATGTAAATAAAATTGCAGCTCTTGTGAATTGAAAATTACACTCTTTGCAATTGCAATTTCACTATGAAAACAGTTCATCTTTAAACCGAACGTAACCCCTATCTGGGAAACCACCCTAATATACTTAGCTAGGAACCTCAAGCTGTTTCTCTATATATAGAGAAATAAGTCCGGCCTTCTGATTATTTCCCAGTATTTCTTTTAGGTTGTTTGTATTTAATAATCAGAAGCTTGATGACTTTCCCTATACCAGCTGCATAGCTGTTTGACTGTATACTCATTTAGAAAGATTTAAACGTGTCTGCTGTAGACATGAAATTTTAATCATGGCTGTTTTTTTTCTCTGTGTTTTCAGTCATGTCCACGCTCTTCCCCTCGCTGTTTCCACGAATGACTGAGTCTCTGTGGTTCAATCTGGACCGGCCATGTGTGGATGAAACAGAGCTTCACCAGCAAGAGCAGCAACACCAGACATGGGCAAGCCAAATGTTCTTTAACCAGTTTAGTCAGAGTTACGACTTGTTTCGCTTCACTTGTGCCATGTTGATTTTATGTCCTTTTCCAGTTACAGAGCATTGCTGAGAAGGACACCAACCTGTTGCCCATTGGAAGACCCATCTTTGAGGTAAACTGACCAGGATTATGATGGTGGTGATAATCGGATGTGCACAGGATGTCAGTTTATGTTGCGTTTATGTGCATGTGTGTCTGCTGAAAAGTTCTTTGTAGAAACAAGGTGGCCGTATTACAAGTTTGTATCTTGAGTATCAAGTTTATGATGCATATATATTATATCTTATAACATCTTATTTCAACCTAGGAAGCCTTAAACTCCTCAGTAGAGGCTGATAATTAGTCCTTTTAAATGCAACTGGTACGTTTTACTACGTTCTCTTTCTACTTCTTGTGTAGACATTTGATGAGGAGGAAGAGGAAGATGATGAAGATGAGGAGGACAGTGAAGAAGACTCTGAAGAAGATGAAGACATGCAAGACATGGATGACATGAACATTTACAACGAGTTTCCTGATGATGGAGAGATAAATGAGGTGAGAATACAGCCTGTTCCAGGAACAGGAGTAATTTAGGTAACCATGTGGAAGACAATTTTTTCCTTTACTTTACCGTTTCATCCTGGGACTTTCCGACAGTCTCTGAAACAGGCACAGAAGAAAACACAGTGAGTTGAGTCTAAATCTTTGTCAAATAAAAAATTATGATAAAGTGCAGTTCCGTAAAAGTTGTGGGTGTAGTATGTTGTTATCTTGAATTTGGCTACAAAACTGTATTTAATCTAGTAAGCAATAACAGGATTATGAATGTCACGTGTACTTTACCATCTGAGAGTTCGTCACCACTTAGCTCAGTACTTTGCCTTCGTCTCTGAAGCCATTTTGCCTGAGGCTGTTTGAAATGACCTGTTTTAAGCTGAAATATGATTTTACTTGACTTTTTTTGAGACAACCGTTGCCCGAAGGTTTTTTCCTTTAGCAGAGCAGCCTTTCTACTCCACAGTTTAAATTTGTGCTCAAACAGTTCATATGTAGTTAAGGTGCACTTTCTCAGATTTTGGACATTTTGATTGTACCATGTAGAAATTACAGCATGTTTTATACATAGCCCCCCTCCTCCCTTCACAGGTGTTTGTGATTACTCAGGTGTGTTTAATTACTTCATTAGTGCTGGTATAAGAGAGCTTTCAGCATCTAAGCCTTTGGTCACCTTTGTAGTCTGCTTTTGTTGTTTGTCAACATGAGGACCAGAGTTGTGCCAATGAAAGTCAAGGACACCATTATAAGGCTGAGATTGAAAGCACTAGTTGGCCACAGAAACAGGATGCCAGGTCACGGTTTGCTTAAAAGTACCTAAAACAGCCTGGGGAGTTCTGGAAAAAGGTGTTGCCTTTATGAGACCAAGATTAACTTGAAGAGACTAAGGAGTGCTGGCGAAAAGGAACTTCCTAAAATCGAAAGCATACTTCCTGATCTGCAAAACATGGTGGTGGGAGTGTTATGGCCTGGGCCTGTATGGCTGCCACAGGTACTGGCTCACTCGTCTTCCTTGATGATGTAACTGCCGATGGCAGCAGCAAAAGTAGTTCTGTTGTGTACATCTTATCAGCCCAATGCCTCCAAGCTAATTGGGTGGCGGTGCATTCTACGGCAAGACTGTGATCCCAACCATACTGCAAAAGCAACAAAAGGAGTTTTTCAGAGTTAAAACTGGAATAATTCTTGACTGGTCAAGTCAGTTTCCTGATCTAAAACTAATGGGGAATAGCCCCTGAAGCAAGCAGGAGCTGAAGATTGCTGCAGTACAACCCTGGCAGAGCATCACTAGAGAAGATACTCAGCACATGGTGATGTCTGTGAGTCGCAGACTTCAAGCAGTCATTGCATGTAAAAGATATGCAACAAAGTACTAAACATGACTAATTTACAGTACATATCACTGCTATCTCCCAAACAGCATGGTGCCTTTAAGTGAGGGGTTATGTATAAAAAGTGCTGGTAAGACTAAAGTATATAAAAATACCCTTTACTAAAATATGAGGTTGTGCACTTCAACCACATGTGAATTGGTTCAGTACAAAGGCACCTAAAAATACTGCTTATACCAAACTAAAATATTTAAAGAGTAGATTTTTGAGCAGCTGAACATTGCACAGTGTGCTTTTTGGTGTGACCGTAGTGCATAAATCAAGTAGTCACTCTTTATAATTTTTTATGATGTGTGAATTAGTTATAAACATTATTGTCATCCTATTGTAAAATTACATTACCCCACATTACATTACCTGCCCATGTAAGACTAATCTCATCTGAACAGCACTAATGACTTTTAAGACCTTTTCCTTGGATGTGTTTTTGAGGTTTGTGTGTTGCTCCGTCTTTCAGCTATGTAGCATCATGTGATGGGGGAGAGCTGTCTGGTGGGTGGGAACTGTTCATAATAAGAAATTGATAAAGCTGTAGGGCTGTGGATGAAATCAAAGCAAGTTTATATTCATAGTCATTCATCATATTCACGTCACACAGTCACGCTGCCACCATGGACTTCTACGTTCATTTGGCAGCGCAGTGGCAGTTTATGAGATAACAAAGCCGTAGCTGATCCAGCAAAGGCTGTAAAACACTGCAGTGTAATACCAACGGAGCTGCACTCATTTGTGTAGTAGGTAAAGTATTGGGTCATTGCCAGTGAGACAGGTTCAACAGTCCAGCAGCTCCAGTGGCTGATTATAGCTCTGTTGGGCTGCTTATTAGCTGCTCTTTGAAATACACCACAAGTGACAAGTGAAAGTTTAAGGTGTTTCCTGATTATAGGTGCATTTATTGAGGTGAACTGGATGTCAGATTTTTTTTTCTATGACATGATGTTGTTATTATTCGCCAGCTACATACAAGGCGCCTGAATGTAACTGCTGCACCATTTAAGGTGGAAGGGAAAATTCAAACTTGAGCTTAATTGTGTTGCTTATGAGTTTTGACAGTTTTGGTAGCTGTGTTTATTAGTTTTTGTAAAATCTCATGCATTGGGATGTTTCGAACTTGGTGTGCAGGCTATACAGATCCAGTCCACCAATCGAGCTAATCTTCTAATCATAGAGTTTTGTGGAGACTCTGGAGATCTTTTTTGTGGTCATTCTGGCCTGTTTTGCTTGGTCTTTATCTGCCTGCAGGGTTGTAGCTTTTAACATTGTACCAGTGTATCTGTGTTTTCAAGTTTATTCTTCTGCATGCTGGCTCCTTAGTGAACCATTTCACATCAGATCACTCTAAATGACTGTCAGAACGCATTATGTTGTGATTTTTTTTTGCCATTTAAAGCTTATTTTGTTATAGCTATTTGAGTAGACAGAAGCTTAATCATTTACTTTAAATAATCCATTTTTTTTTTCAACATTATTTTTCAACAGCCTGGGCATGAAAATCACATAAACGTAGGGTGAAAATCAAAAAAAGATTTAATACAGTTTCCAGTCTTCATCACCGATGTCCAGTGAGAGCACAGAGAACAGTGGCTGCATGTTCCAAAAAATGAGTGTATATTATATATATCGTATATACTGTCAATGGTTCCAGGTCTTGCATGATTTTAGCCTCTTGCTCTCATGCTGATCTTATTATAAGGGGAACTGCTTTACTATTGCTTGCTTTTAATGGCTTGTTGCTCATTGGTTCATCCATAGTCCTCTTATGAACACGGTCCAGTGTAGGTTGTTGAAGGCGTTCTCTGGTGCTAAAGTTACTGGTATAACTGATATTGCTGACATCAGTGCTTTGTTTTGCTTACTTCAGACTCGGTGTCCTTCAGTGATGAGTAAAATAACCGTGGCAGTAGCTTTTATCAAGGACTTATCAAGAGAGTCATTGTTTCAGTTGTAACTTGCAAAAGGACTACACTCACAGAGTCATAGCAATAGCATGTGAGCAGCTGGGCTTCAAGCTGGCTCTACAGATGGTTTGAAGGGTCAGACTATGAAAATGCATAAATGGAGTTTAAAAAATTAGCAGTTTATTTATTTATTGTGTTAATAAAATAAAATTTTATATATGTACATCATGTTTGAACTATGGAGAAATAAAAAACAAATCCACTGTAATGATTTCATGTGATGCTTGATTAGAAGTGGCTGAATGAATGCTGTTTCTCACTCAGGTTGACATGGAGGGCACAGACCAAGACCAGGACCAGTGGATGATCTAAACCTGAGCGGTCAGTCTTCTACCTCCTGATCTCTCATCAGAAAGCAGAGTGGCTCTGTGGGAAGAATAGGTGTTCATCTGCTCAGCCTGGAGTCCAAGTGTGTTCTGTGTTGGAGATTTTTTGTTTGTTTATTGTTTTTGATCTTTAACGTCTCCGTACACTGTATAATGCAGTTTTTGGACAGCCTTTGGAGGGTGGGTGACTAAGCCTCATGTTTCTGCAGAACAGCTCCAGGTGCCAACCAACCGTGACTTGCCTTTTTATGAGAATCAGCAGAGAATACTTTGCATTGTTCAGGGAAACAAGATCACGAGGTCTCATGTGTAGTCTGTTGCGTTGTAGCTATCAGGTTGTAACCCACTCAAGGACAGGCGGCTCAAAAAAACAAACACGCACACAGTCGTGTCTTTCAAAGCCATTGTTTCTCCAAATTACTGCTTTATTTTGTGTCACATGTCAGGCAATAGAGACCACTAAACCTTGAGTGTGAGAAAGAGTGTGATTTCTTGAGGTCATTATACTCGGTCTGCATTTTAATGGAAAACTAGATGACCAGACTAACTGAATGATGTCAGGAAACTGACATGCAGAGTTTGGATTCATGTTGTTTGTACAGCAGTGTATTTTTACTTGTATAAAGAGTCAAAGCTGTGTTTGTAAATAAACAAAACTTGTGTGAAGTAGACCTGTCTCAGTTATTACATAATGGCTGCATTCCTGTGGTTTGAGCTGATTACAGTTATTTTGCACATTTGATAATTTCTGTTATCTTTAACTCATCTAAACCATCAGGACACTAAAGCTGAATGGAAAACTTGACTTTGTGGCTTATTTAGTCTCTGCAGTAACCCATTGTTTTTACAGAAAAAGTAATTAAAACATGTTAGAAATAGTCTACCCAGGGGCGGCCAGGTCAAACCCAGTATTTTAGCAGGGTGGTGAACTACTTTGGGGTAACAACAAAATAAAACAAAAGTTAATAACGTTCTTCTGTGCTTATATTAGGCCTACATTACTGAATTAACTTCTTTAAAATGTGCATAAAAAAACAGCTGAAACAGATTCTGTTCCTGTTTTTGATAAGGTTTAGTATTAAAATATTGTTTGTTTTGTTCCTTGTGTCAATTCTACTGTTGAATACTGTGTCATTGGTTAAAACCACGTGGTCAAAAGCACAGTGTATAACAAAACAAAAGCACTGTATTGATAGAGAAATATATATACTTTAACTGTTTACTAATGTAGAAGTCCAGTGTCAGCTGCTTCACAGGGCAAAATGAACCAAGGTAACGTTAACATTTTGACCTGCGTTTACTAAACTGTGCAGCAGTAGCCTGTCAGGGCAATGATTTGCCAACTCAGAACTTTTTGGTAGCTGTCCTGACGACAGATTTCCACACTAAAGTGTAAACATTCACTCTAGGTAGGAGAATATTTCCCTGATGATTGCTTTAATGGTGATTGCTGACTGTCTTGCTTGCACAACTGAGGCAGCCACAAATGTCCATATGTTGTGCCAGGGTGGCACTGGCCAGTCCTTGGCTACACCCCTGAGTCTACCATCAGTTTGATGCTGATTTTCCTCACAAACAAATTTCATTTGATTGAAAATGATGCTGAAAATGTGTTTTTTTAAATTAACTTCTTGGATGGCTTATTATGATTAGTCTGATATTTGTATCAAATATGTTAGCACCCTGCAAAAATTTGTGATGCATTCTGGGTCTTCAATAGTGAACTATATAGGGAGTGAAATTTACCACTGAGATTTTGAACAGCACTTAAAGGTTACCAGTGGCAGAGGTGTAAAATTCAGGTCCAGAAAGTAAAAATCCTTCCCAGGATTTTGTTCCAACGGCCTGGCTTCTCTAGTTCGATCAAACCACCACCTGTTCAGGCAGTTGGAACAAAATCCTGGGAAGGATTTTTACTTTCTGGACCTGAATTTTACACCTCTGATCAGTGGTTAAATGGTTAAAGCGTTCAAACTTTCTTCAGCACTGAAATGGATTTTATTATTATGCTTTCTGGCCATAATTTCTGGTCAGAGGTCACAGGAAAGTTATCCGAGATCCTGGGTTTTGACATACTCATCTGTCCCACTGTGGCACTACTTAATGTAATGTACTACTTAATGTATAAATGACAATGTAGCACTGCTTAATGATCTCCCCAATAGCAATACCCAAACATCTCAAACTCTTCATATTTATGTCACTCACCATTGCAAAAAAATACGAATAGGAGAGATAGAACACAAATATTTATAAAGCATTGGCTCAACCTTCTGATAAATCACTACGATACATATGTAAGTATTGCACTGTTATAAACGATCTGTGCCATTTTGTACTTTGAATTGAAGAACTGGATGTCAATAACAATTACATGAAGGAAAAGAGTTATTGAGAGGGGATGTGGCCACTGGATATTAGACTGGGTTTAAAAATAAATAAATAAATAAATACAGAAAAATACATCCTGCATCCACAAGGGGGTGCAACTTAACTAAAACTAGTCTATAGCAATGAAAAACAACCCAGGCTCCCAGCACAGTCCGTATGTCATGAGTATTCACTTAATTATTTAAACCAGTCGAATAATACATTACAGTGACATGGCAGGACGTTTAACTGTGAGTTATTTATGTACTTCATACTGTATTTGTCATATTGCTTTGGCCTGATTATACATGCATGATGTTGCTTCATGTTATTTAAAAACACTACTTCAAAAGACCTGATTTATCTATTTCACCTTTAAAATGGTGCAAGAAGACGCATAACTTTCCGAGTGTTGTGTTTGTCATAACTATACAAACACGATGGTGCTTCTAGGGCATTTCTTTCTATTCTTTGGTTGCCGTTACCCATGCAAACATCTGATATACCACCATGATGGCCCCTAAATTTTATGGAGGTTGATGAAAATGTCATATTCTCATTATTTGTGAATTATTATTGTAGTATTGAAATAGCTACACCCTCCACGTGAAATAATGGATCAGATGGCCTATATTAAGTTATATTAATCATTAAATAAAACAAATAGTGGATTAGTGGATCAGACACAGCAGTGCTGCTGGAGTTTTTAAACACCTCAGTGTCGCTGCTGGACTGAGAATAGTCCACCAACCAAAAATATCCAGCCAACAGCGTCCTGTGGGCAGCGTCCTGTGAAGGACTAGAGGATGACCAACACAAACTGTGCAGCAGCAGATGAGCTATCGTCTCTGACTTTACATCTGCAAGGTGGATTGACGAGGTGGGAGTGTTTAATAGAGTGGACAGTGAGTGGACACGGTGTTTAAAAACTCCAGCTGCACTGCTGTGTCTGATCCACTCGTACCAGCGCAACACACACTAACACACCACCACCACGTCAGTGTGAGGGTCCATGGGGGTCCTGACCACTGAAGAACAGGGTAAAAGGGGGCTAACAAAGTATCAGAGAAACAGATGGACTACAGTCTGTAACTGTAGAACTACAAAGTGCACCTATACAGTAAGTGGAGCTGATAAAATGGACAATGAGTGTAGAAACAAGGAGGTGGTCATAATGTTATGCCTGATCGGTGTACACTATATGACCAAATGTATATGGACACCTGACCATCACACAGATATAAGCTTCTTGGATATCCCATTCCAAAACCATGGCATTGATATAGAATTGACCCTCCCTTTGCAAGTCTAACAGCCTCCACTCTTCTAGGAAGGCTTTCCACACAATTTTAGAGTGTGTCTGTGGGAATTTGTGCCCATTAAGTCAAAAGAGCATCTGTGAGGTCAGACACCAACGTTGGTCAAGAAGGCCTGGCTTGATTTCACTATTCCAGTTCATCACAGAGGTGTTCACCTGGGTTTCTGTCAGGGCTCTGTGCAGACCACTGGGGTTCCTCCACACCAAACCATGTCTTTATGGAGCTCGCTTTGTGTACAGTGGGAAGTTCTTGCTGGAACAGTCATGCCGCAAAGCTGGAAGCATATTAATATGCTGCAGCATTAACATCACCATTTACTGCAACTGAGGGGCCCAAACTCTGAAAAACAACCGCAGCCCATTATCCCTCCTCCACCAAACTTTACTGTTAGCACTATGCATTCTGATGTAATGTTCTCCTGGCATCCACTAACCCTAGATTCATCCATCTTACTGCCAGATAGTGAAGCATGATTCATCACACCAGAGAATACTTTTCTAGCGCTTTACACCACTCCAGCCGACACTTGGTATTGCACATAGTAATCTTAGGCTTGTGTGCAGCTGCTCAGCCATGGAAACCCATTTCATCAAGCTCCTGATGCACAGTTCTTGTGCTTTTAGTACTTGTGGTTCATGTTACTTCCAGAGGCTTATAACTAAGGTGGTGTTCTATGACAGTGTCACGTTTACTGAGGTCTTCAGTGTTCCCAGCATTAATAGGTCAAAATGCTTGATTTTATATACTTGTTAGCAATGGGTGCAGCTGAAACTCATGAATTTAATGTATAGGAGGGATGTCCACATCCTTTGGCCATATAGTGTTTGTATACACTTTGGCCATACCCTGGTGGCAAATAGCATTCACTCTATACACTTTATTGGCTGAGAACAAACAAGGTACAAAGATAACCATCACAGTAAACACTCGTATTATTGCCAGGAGTACAAAAAATGAAACAAAATTATTGTCTCGTCCTTCATTTCACCCCTCTGTACACAAGCTCGGCCATGCCGTCGCGGATGCCCCGGATGTACTCGAGAGTGGCGCGGTGCACACGGTGCTCGTACAGGCCAGAGCGGCGCATGTGGCGTAGGAAATTGGGCGCCCCGGGGAAGATAACGTTGTCTGCGAGGATGACAGAGCCCTCACCGAGCAGGCCGCTGCCTTCCAGCGTCTGCAGGTCGGGCAGGTAGCAGCGCTTCCAGTGGTCCATAAAGACAAAGTCCAGACGCTCCACACCGTAATCCTCACGGAGCCGAGGGATCACCTCGTCCGATGGCCGCACGATCAGCTCCACCTGCAGTGAAAAAGAGTCCTGACCTGAAGAATCTCAACTAAGTTTTTAAAGGAATGCGATGTACACAATTTCCCCCTTAACCCAAAGATCAGCCAAGACATGTTTGGTGTCTCAAGTTTGCTTCATAAGTTTTGCGCTGGAGCGACAAGGCTAATGTCGCTAACCAGTAATGGAAGCTTATGCCCCACCAATTAGTACTGTCCTACCTGCAGGCCTAAATCTACACACACTTCACACAACTGTTGAGTTGCTAGTTAATCTCTAAAAGACTTACTGATGTGGTTCCTGACACTGCCATATTGTTATCTATACAGAAATGACACAAGAATGTCACATAGCTAAAAAAAATTGTAATAACCTTCTTGAAACCTGAATTTTTTCTATCGTTTTGTCTATTGATTCCAGAGGTGGACAGTAATGAAGTAAATGTAATTTACTGTACTTAAGTAGTTTTTTGTGTATCTGTACTGAAGTTTTTCCATTTTTGGTGACTTTTTACTTTCACTCCACTACATTTCAAAGTCAAATATCTAAATTTTTACTCCACTACATTATGAGAAATCTGTCGCTCCTTTTGGTTTATGTGTGTATAAAAACGTAACATGTCAAAACAAAAAAAGTGTGAAGCAAAAACACCAATCAGGGCACAGCGGTCACTTTGTTTTGAGCTTGTTTTGACCTGTTGGTCATACCGACCCAGTGCAGCACACGGTTCAACATCAGTGCAGCAGCGTAAAATTTTGGGAGAGTCTATTCAACATAAATGATGAACTAACCTAACTCTGTGTAAACAGACCACAATATAGAAATATGTACACATATGCAGTTGTGACTGACGTGGCTTTTTTCTGAATTTATACAAACATATTTCATTTTATAGTAAATTTGTTTTGGCTAGTTTATGTTTATGAACAGAGACGTACAGATGCAGTTTAGTGAAGGAAACTCATTTGTGAATCTGAGTTTAAAGTTTTTATTAAACTTAAACTTGTAACTAAGTTCAAATAAATCTTAAACTGAAACTTTGCTTGTTTGTAAAAAGTGATTTCAGAGCCACTCAGTTCTACCTGATGGAAACTGTTTGCCTTCAGTGTTTTGTGTTTATGACCATTTTAATAGACATCAGCGTCACTAATTAATGACATTCTATTAAAAGACTACAAAAATGATAATAGGACATCAGAGCCATAATTAATCTTTTAGAACTTTTACTTTTTGATACTTAAGTACATTTGAAGGCAAATACTTTTGTACTTTTACTCAAGTGGAGGTCTAAAGGGAGGAACTTCTACTTTTACTGGATTTTACCTTGGGTGTCTCTACTTTAACTCAAGTACATGGTTTGTGTACTTCGTCCACCACTGATTGTTTCCATATCAGCCTACATAAAGCCTAGCTGGTCATATCATATATTTCCATGAAAAAACACGCAGAAACTTCAATTTAATTCATTCAACTATGAAAAATGGCAAATTAATGAATATTTTAGTTAGGAATTTTTTCAGCAACCAATCATTCTTCTTATTCATTGGCCAGAAAATAAGCTGTAGAAGGGTACAAGATTGGCTCCAGTAGTATCTGCTTCACAAAAGCAGCTGGACCCAGTTAACAAGCAGGTAAAAGAGGAAAGATTCCAATTAGTGAACCAAACAGTCAAATTACTGTTTGTAAGTAAAAAAACATTTTATGTTTTATTTTTTCCCCCATTATGTTAAATTCAGCAAATAAACAGTAACTGTACATTATAATATGCAGAAGTGAATTCTCTGTAGAAGGTATGTCAGCGTATTCTCAAAACATGTCATTGGATTAGGGGCATCGAAACTTTTGCATACTGTACATGCTGACTCCCTCACCGTGTCATCATCGAACCCTGCCAAGCGGATGATCTTCTCGGCCACCTGAGCATTGCCCTCGTCCATCTCCACGGAAAAGATACGTGCTCCAATCGGGAGTGAGCGGGCGATGCGCACTGCAGTGTAGCCACAGTGAGTTCCCAGCTCTAGCACCGTCAGCGGGCAGTGTTCCTTCAGCAGTCTGTCCAGGATCATACCTGAGTGGACAGGTGAGACCAGAACGAGTGTTTGAGCTCCAGATGACCCGAGTAGGCCCCTGATATTTCACACCAAGGTGTAGCCTTTTTTCAACTTGAGCCAATAGCTGTACTTTTTCATTAGCTATACGCTAATTTAGAGCTTGATGCAGAACAAAAGCAGCTGGACTGAGTTAATGAGCAGGTAAACATGGGTAAAAAGGTGTGTAGTGACCCCAAGGGTTGTGTATTTCTAGAATTTCTAGTGAGGAGTCATTAATGTCTCCCAGGTTCCACCAGAGGGCGCTCCTGAGTGAGTCCAAAATGAATGGGTTCCTATGCAGGTCTTGTGCAAAGTCATAAGGCCTCATTCACCAATATCTTCCTACGTTTCTTCTTAAATGTGTTCTTGAGAAAAGTCCTAAGAAAACGTCTACGTTAGATTCATGCCGTGTTCTTAAACTGCAGAACTGTTCAGACCTTTGCGCTCTTGTGTGTGTGTAGATTCTGTTCTTACCTAAGACCAAATTCCAGATTAGAATACATTGGTGAACGTCAGAATCTTTGTGAAAGCTGCTAAGTGGGTTTTAAGAAGAAATTTCTTCTTAAGAACCATTGGTGAATGAGGCCCATTGTTTGTAAATGCTTAATAATTTTTATGTAGACAAAAACACCCATTTTCTCAGCACAGAATAGCACAAAGTACTAAAAGTTATATTTGTAAGCACTTCTCCAGTGCCTTGTGTACATTCATGACATCAGTGAGTGTGAACCTCATGGCAGCCTCATATTAGACATGGCAGTCTAATAACAGACGCTGGAATGGAATGGCAAAAAATCCTCCATCTTGGTTCACAAGCTAGCTTACTCACTAACCATAAGCAACAACAACAACACAAAAGAGAAAACAATAATACCAGAAAAAATATATACTAGTGGGAATATAGTGCTGAATACTGAAGTGTAGCTAAATAGTGTAGGCAACATTGGGGTGATTTTTACGCAGCTGCAGGTAGCCAACGAGCTAACATGGCTAGCTGGCTTACTCACCTACTATAGAGAGTAAAAACACAAAAGTGAACAAAATATGAAAGATAATTATACTCATCACAGCATAGTCCACTGTAGCAAGCTGGCATGGTTAGTGACAGTGAGGTGACTTGTGTGCTGTTGTGGTTAGCCAAGGAGCTAACATCCCTTACACCAGCAAGGCTGATCACCAGCAAAACCAGCACACTTTGTATTTTGGATGCTGAAATACTGGTCAACCAGCATGACCATCATGAAAATTGGCTGGCAAACTCAAATATTACTGGGCTTTTGCTCAGCCAATGAGCTGAGCAACTCGCCAACCAAACAGCACTCAGTAGCAGTAATGCTATCTTATCAATCTTAGCACTGAAATCTTATCAGTCATGGCTTGTCGTAAAACAATGTCTCAGACGTCAGCCAGTATATCCTAAAATATGTAAAAAAAAATATATATATAGTACCAAAAAGGGTTCTTTAAAGTTTCTTTAAAGAACCACAATCGTCACAGAGAAGAACCATTTAACAGTGCAAAGAACCATTTATGCATTCAGATGTTTCTTTGAGTGGGCACTGCTCTATAGAACCACTCTCTTTACTAAGGAACCCTTGAAGAACCATTTTTAAGCGTGTAGTTTTCAGAGAATGTCTGGTTCCTGTGAACAAATCTGACTTGGTAAATCTCTCTTGAATGAAGCATTTTACAGCACACCTCTCTGAATGACTTTATTAACATCTTAACCATTTAATTATGCAGATATTTTGGACTGTCTGTGGAATTCTCCTTTTAAACAGCAGGGGGTGATCTAACCACTTTCCTTCCCGATAGAAAGCCTGTTATAGATTCTGGTACTTGACCAGACTTGGCTGGTGTTAGTGTATGTCTTTTTACCTTTCTTAGGCCCGATGTGGCTGATGAACTCCACTTTGCTGCACCAGTGATCGAAGGTATCTATGATGCTGTCGGCATCACCCGGAGTGGCGTGTGTCAGAATGTACTGGTACACTCGCTCTTCCCTGCTGATCCCCGTTAGCAAGTCCTGCACCCAGCGAACCAGCACAGCCCGGTAGAACAGCACAAAATAGTACCGATACCGGATAATCAGTGTCAGCAGTAATGGTAAGAATGCCAAGGCGATGGCTGGAGAGACCATATCTAAGGGCCAGACCTGCAAGTTAATTCAAAACAGGGCAGTTCTGATTAACACATTGCAATCCATTAGCAGGCATTAGCACATGCAACATGTGGCTAAATCCAAAATCCTCACTGTCCATTTTATCAGCTCCACTTACTATATAGGTGCACTTTGTAGTTCTACAATTACAGACTGTAGTCCATCTGTTTCTCTGATACTTTGTTAGCCCCCTTTTACCCTGTTCTTCAGTGGTCAGGACCCCCATGGACCCTCACAGAGCAGGTACTATTTGGGTGGTGGATCATTCTCAGCACTGCAGTAACACTGACGTGGTGATGGTGTGTTAGTGTGTGTTGTGCTGGTACAAGTGGATCAGACACAGCACAGAAACACGTTAAGGACATGAGAAGATACATTATTTAAGGCCAAAGTCGCTACGTGGCAGTAGGGAGCCATTTAAGATTGACAGGTTGATCCAAGCTCTGTTGTTTTTTCTGTTGAGTGATTATGTAGTACTTATTGACATGCATTTTCCTCTTGCGCAGGGAATAGTATAGACTAGGATAGACTAGTATAAGAAATGTTCGTTATGGACAAAATAATAGGAAAACTCGCTAAACGACAACTGTTTAAAATTCCAACTTTTTCATTGTGGAAAATTATAACTTGGTTGTTACATCAGATAAAAAGTAAACTGATCATGCACAGGGTCTTGCACATGTGTCAAGCTCCAGTCCTCAAGCCTCATTAAACACACCTGATTCAGCTCATTAGCTAATTAGCAAGGCCTTAATGAACTGACTTTAGAGCATTAGATGAGGGTAAACATTAATCTCCACAGCACTTTGGCCTGGAAGGTTTCCAGTTTGACATGCCTTGTGTAGAACTTGCAATAGTACTTTGAGGTATGATAGCAGAAGCGCTGACACGTTGTCTTTTTAGTCTATACATCTACTGTGGATGCTGCCATTTTCCAGCAGCTAATAACCAGAAATAAATGTCTAACCCTGACTTAAGTGCTTAATAACCAAGCAAACCACTGTAAAACCACATCTATGAAAATCTATTCCTGTTTATATGTGTGAGTTGGTTTGGATTGTGCTTGGCTTTCAAACTTAGCAGTATCAGTCAGTATCAACTCAACATTGGGGGTGCTGGTCAGGTTCGGGCTACAATTTCATGACCTCTAGTTTGTCAATGCCCAGTTCAGAATTTGCTAAGCCTGCTAAATTTTTAACAAGCGCTAAAGGCTTGAGTAAACCTGGCAACTAGCATGCTAGCATGCTAATGGTGATTGTAAAATGCCTCAGGAAACCCAAGGCTGCTTTACTTGTTTACACTACTTTGACCTTTCATGCATAAATTTAGGCCTTTAACACAATGCGGCATTTAGACAACACTGCTTCACTTCAACACCACTTTACTTAAGCCCTTAATGAGCTGGATCATTTGTCAAAACAACAGCTGGAAAAACCAAATTAGACCAGCTTGAATTCCATTCTGGTCTAAGTAAGCTGGTTTATGCTGGTCTAGTGCTGGTTTAGCTGGTCACTTAGCATGGTCATGCTGGTTGACCAGCATACCAGCATCGGATGGCATTTTGTGGTGATCAGCATAGCAGCTTCCATTGCTACTGGCCAGCAGACCAGCATCCAACACCCAAAGTTTTGCTTCTGAACAACAATGCTGCTCTATACTGGTTTTTCTAGCAGGGTGTAATCTAAAGCTTCGACTCCTTTGGACTGGAAATGGCTAAAAATTTAGCACGAATGATTCAACCAATATTTAATTTCAACATATTGACAATGGAGAAACAGCAAATAAACTTGCTTCAGTAGGACTGCTACAGCCTATTGTGGATTATTTTCAACAACTTTGAGAACACTCCAAGAAAAAAGTGCCACAGTAAGCCATGTGTCTTTCCAGAGCATTTTTCAGGCACGAGTAACCAGAGACAATGTTACCTAAGACCAATGAAGACATGCACTGTAGTCAGGTCAGCCAGCTATACTGAGCGCTCACCAGGCATACAGTCTTGCTTGTTTATTATAGTGACAATATTAATCTCCTTGGAGGTACGTTGACACTGAGATCATTTGCAAAGTCAACAATCTTAACCAATGATAGGCCTGTTATTTGTATGTGGAGATGGTGATCAGCAACTTTGCCATGACCCCTTAAATGGCCAGGAGGTGCCTATGGGTCTAAACCTGTATTAAGCACTTCTGCAAACTATAAACAGCAGCCAGTTTGCATTGTAGTCCACATAGTTATTGAATAACAAGCTTTAGGATGTAAAAGTCACCAGCAAGTCATGCAGGAGACTATTGAAAACTACCGAATTAGAAAATGAGGCTTATATTATGGCTTATATTACAGAAATTTGGAATTAAATAGTGCCATGTAGTAAGCATATATTAGCATATTGACCCTGGTAAATATCATCCTCAGATTATGTTCAGTTATATGTAACAGTTTCTTGTTATCATTACTACTAATTGGCATAACATTTGGCATATTGTTTGACGCTATGATGGCTAACTAGAGTACATATGTTTATGGCATGGTCATGTCAATGCTATGTAGCAGGGTTCAAGCAAAGTCTTACCAAAAGATCTGTTAAAAAGGAAAACGCCAAATTGAACTGGACACACTGAAGCACACTTACCTTCCAGCAAGCGAGCTGACAATATAGTTAACTAGTTAACCCTATGAGGCAGATGGGTGCTGTCCACCAGTCGATGAAAACATCTACAAAGCACTTCCCAAGCAAACATCCATCCAACTCAAAGAACGTCACAAATACCCCAAACAGCTTTTATCTATGAATTTCTTTGACTTGTAAGATGACCAGGATGAAGGACACAGGCAGCGACAGGAGCGAATGCTCTTCCTCTGTGTCTATAGCAGGTGTGGAGGATGACTAGTCAAGTTGTAGCCAATCAGCTTCATGCTGTGAATTATTGAGTGGCCCCTGTGTGCTCTTCTTACACTGTGTGGAGTCCAAGAGTAGACATGGCCGAGAACAGAATCACCACACCCTCACCTTTACCCTTACCTCACCTTTACACCTTCAAGCTCCTACTGATATCACATCCACATGTGTGCAGTCACTTACAGAGGACAGACTTTAGCTGTAAAAGTTCTATTTATGTATATATTGGGGAACCCTGACTTTCAGTTTGAGCCATAAAAGTCAAAACTCTCTCAAAATGTGGGGAAAAAAAACACCTCTACAATAATGCTGTCCTTCGCTAGCCTCCCTATGGGATTCTAGTTATTAGTTTGCACTAATAGTGATTCACATATACATTTTTTTGGTGGTTCTAGATTATACACAGACATTTGGAGCTTCTAAAAGACATTCCGTATTTTTCTTGAAGCTCGTGACAGACATATTAGCATATATTTGAGCTTGTAGCAGTTTCAGTAGTGAGCTCTGGTGTAGAGCTGCTTCTGCTGTTTTCCACTCTAACATGGGTCTTATATTGAGTCACCGACGTATCTAGAACATTCAGAAGGCCTAGAGTGAAAATTGGTCCCTAAATTGGTATCCAGGAATCAAAACATTATTGATTGATTCCTCTGTCACTTTGTGATTATGCTGATAGTTAATCTAATGTCTTAGGTCTTCTCTTCAGCTCCTGATGTCCTAACCAGTAGCAGAGCTCATTTAACTTAATTTACCTAGATACCACAGACAAAAACAATTACTGATTGGCCAACTTTCTGCTGGGTGTTTCATCACTGCAACCCTTTTGTTTCCTTCCAATACTTGACAATGAAACAAGAGTAGTACTATAATACGTAAAGAAATACAAACATGATTCTACTGAATGAAAATGAATTAAAAATTACATTAATGTATATTTTAATGCACAGAAATCATTAGGCACTGAGGTTTCCCTTCTGATACATATGTTGGGCTTAAAATTGAGTACAAACACTATGTAGTGTTCATAGTAACAGGTGTGGAATGAAAGTGGGATTGGGTTACTTCTGCCCCCCCGCTCCCCTCTCAGATAATTCTTGTGTTTTCTCATTCTTTTTATTCACACAGGCACTGTAATATGTGACAATGCTCTTTAAAAAAAGATGCCACAAATGGTGGCCTTGAGATTTTTTTATGGAATTAAAGGGGTTCTTATATGAAGAAGTATAAAAAGGATACAAAAGCATTTTCATTGAATAAGACAATTTATTTAACAAACCATATGAAATGGTTCCAATGAAACATGTGAATGAAATTAAATATAAGCTTTAGAATCATTGATGATTCACCACATGCATGACCACCAACATAAACCCTTTGTCTGTAATAAAAGTTTTGTTTGAACATCAATTTTTGTTTGAATGTAAATCAACCTGACTGTGTGACAGAACCCTAACACTAAACTCATTTTATGATTTTATATTTATGTTTACTTCCTTACATTATACTACATTAAAGGGATTTTAACCCAAACATGCTAACAGTGAATAAAATTAAGCAGGGATCAGTTCATTTGCATGAACCTGTGTTACCTAATGCCTCATTAGTGATACAGATCTGCCCCCAGAGTAGCTGGTCAGCATCCATGTCCACATTGGTCAGAGTAAAATAGATCTGAATGTGGAAATCTGGTGTACTACTGTGTTTCCTATCTCTGCATAAAAGAAGCTCCATGCTGCCTTTATTGAATGTACTGCAGAGGTTTCACAATGCAATCTACACTGCTATGGAGATGGTTATTATTCAGTAGTTTCATCACAGTGACAATAAAAGACCTCTCATGTGTGAAGAATTAAAAATGTGCCACAAAATTAAAATATATACTTTTTTTATCTTATGTCCTTTATGTATCAAAATAAATGCAACAGCACTGAAATGACAATATTAAAGTGGAAAAGTAAATAAAAACTGAAGAATAAAGCTAACGGCAATCCGCTAGCCTTCATTAGCGGTCACTTCAGCATGGCTGTCTGGTCAGTTTCCTAATGAACTTTTTCAGCTCTTTCTCATTGCGAGACCACTTCACAAGTCTGGAGAGAACCATTCGTCCGTCCTGCATGTTCCCCAGGGCGAGCAAGGATCCCACCCCTTGTCCTTCTAGTGCTTGGCAGGAACAGTTTGCAGCCTCTGGTAGCCAGAGGGCGCTTTGCTCCATTGCAGCCTGTTGCTCCTGCTCACTGCCCTCCCAACGGAGGATACGGCTCCTCCTCTGAGGCACCACACGCAGATCCAGCCCCTCCAGAGACGAGGAGCTGATCTGAAGCCTGAAAGCTGAAGGTGAGGGGGACAGATATTAGTGACAAACAAACAAAGGAAGAAAGGTTTCATTCACTGCTGCCTTTTGTGTTCTGCATGTAAAAGCTCAAATAGTTTTAGTGGCAGCTTATCAACAATGAAACACTCAAACCTGGTCCTCTGTAGCCGTTCTACACAGTGTTTAACTTATTTAATAAAATTCTTTAATGGAAATCACATAAATAATACTGAGAAACTTAATATCTTCTTGCAAGAACTTTTTTACCTCTCGTTTTGAACGTTGTTGCAGCAAACATGTGCATTTGCTAGATCCTGCTGAGGTTTATGGCAGTTTCTTTAAATGACAACCACTAAAACAATTTGTGTGCTAATGGCACCCCCTGCTGGAAAACCTTCAGTCTGCTAGACAGGAGTTCAAAATCCACTTCCACATGCTTTATATATTAAACAACAAGGTGTTTCCAATCATTGTAGCAGAGGAGCTCTGGAATTCAGCTATAGATGCCTTTCGGGAAACCATTAAGTATTATATTTTCATAATTTAACAATATTTAATATTATTTAGCAAATTGCTTTACTATTAAAGTAGTGCTCTAGTTCTCTCACTTCTACTTGTCAACATAGTGATTATGGCCTTTGAAGCATTATTACGTTAATTCAAAAGCATAAATAAAAAGCATATTTAGAAAAGAACCCCTTCTGTTATAAAGAGTGTGTCCTGAAATTTGGTTTCAGTCAAGATTTTTTAGATCCAGAATTTTTATTTTGGTGCAGCATTAGTTTAGAGGATTGCACAGGCATGAATTTGAAGCCTGAACCTGACCTGTACTTGCTAATTTAAGATTTGACCCAATCCAGACAGACTGTTAAATTTGAAACCCCAACATGGCCTGAACCCGAATGCATGCGCTAAAAATGGATTATCGCAGATATGGTTTTACAATGCTTTGCTTGTTACTAAGCGTATGAGATCGAAAGAAAATTAACAGAAAAAAAACAAAACTTTTACGCACATCTAAAAAAAACTCTTTTCACTTGTAACAGTCACTAATTTTCACAGATCTGTTTCTCATTGTTACTGTTTTTAACAGTAGTCATCAGTTATTATTGCTTAATCTACATACTTCTGTCCAGTGACAGGATGTTTTTTTCCTTTTCTCTGTTTTAATATTTTAGATTAATGGTATAACCTTATTCTCTGTTCATATTGCTCTGTTGTTATTGTTTTACTATCCAGTGTCGACCAGAGAAGGATGGGTTCTCCTTTTGAGTCTTGGTTCGTCTCAAAGTTTCTTTCTTTTGCTCTTCGGGGGTTTTCTTTGCCACTGTCACATTTGCTTATGGGGGGCTTGGGCCCAGATTTTTATGTAAAGCTGCTTTGTGACAATGCCTGTTGTAAAAAGCGCTGTATAAATAACTTTAGAACCTTATGTTAGAAGAGCCTCAAAGGTGAAACAAGTTCTCCAGACGTTTATTCTCATTGCACGATCACGTCTGGCTCTGCAAGACTGCAGCCAACACTGACTTTATCGGTGTGAGGAAGTGTTGACACATACTGTTTCGGGTCAGTTCTTGCTGCAGAACTGCTGCATCCATGGTGAATAAGAGACGATGTGCCAGTCCTTGACCAGTGTGCTTTTTATCGAATGTATTGACCAGGTTATAATGATTCCACAATGAGGATGTGCCTGAGTCATTAGTCATTAGAAAACAAGTCTGAGACTGCCTCAAGCCTGTTGTATGTGAACAATCGTCCCGACTCCGGCCCAAAGCCTAATGTCTTTCGGGCCCTGTCGGGCTTGGGCCAGGCAGAAGACATCTAATTGTGTCGAAGCAGGTAAAGCAGGGGATGATGCAGGGGTAGTCGAGGTCACTGTAATCAAAGAACTTTCCTGGAGGAAGGACAGATTCCAGTTCCTCAATGAAGTTACACCAAATCTCAAAAACCCTCTGGGGTCCAAACTACACAGGGATCAGTTTATAAAGATATCTGCCATTCTTCACTCCTAACACCCAATTTAACCAATTTAAGAGAACTGCCAATATGATCTCACATCACTGACCACACTTACCGAACTGACTACTGCAGAAGTTCTTCTGGATGTCACTTTCTCCTTCTGAAGCTGGGCTGCAGGCATCACATAACACGGTACCTGAGGGAGAAAAGAGGAGAAAACTTTATTACCCAGAAAACACCATGTGGTTCAGTGACTTTGTGTTCCCCAACTTATTTCCTAGAGGCTCAATTGCCCTGTTTTCCCTTCAGGACCAGATTCAAAGAAATGTGTTGTGTTGGAGCAGGAAAATATGACACTGTGCAGACTAAAGTACTCAGAAGCTCAGAAGCAGCAAACATCAGACCAATAACACTTTCTTTTGCTGTCATTTTAATGAATAGTTTAGCGAACAGTTTACCACATCTGCCAGATACAATTAATCAGCTAAAACATGTTTGCTTCTAAACAGTTTAGTGCTGGAGCTACAAGGCTAACATTGCTAACAAAGTCAAATCTTTTCCATAAAATACACCCCCAAAACGTCTCTCAACCAGCTCAAACCACATCCAACTCTGGCCTACAGAGGTCCTGTCCCCACAGAATCCAAGTCCCCTTTGCATGCATGCATTAATCACACAGGCATATGTGATTAATCCAGGTTTAGATACTCAGTCTGTGATTAATCCGGGTTTAGATACTCAGTCTATGATTAATCCGGGTTTAGATACTCAGACTGTGATTAATCCAGGTTTAGATACTGAGTCTGTGATTAATCCAGGTTTAGTCACTCAGTCTGTGATTAATCCAGGATTAGATACTCAGACTGTGATTAATCCAGGTTTAGATACTCAGTCTGTGATTAATCCGGGTTTAGATACTCAGACTGTGATTAATCCAGGTTTAGATACTGAGTCTGTGATTAATCCAGGTTTAGTCACTCAGTCTGTGATTAATCCAGGATTAGATACTCAGACTGTGATTAATCCAGGTTTAGATACTGAGACTGTGATTAATCCAGGTTTAGATACTCAGACTGTGATTAATCCAGGTTTAGTCACTCAGTCTGTGATTAATCCAGGTTTAGATGTTTAGGCTGTGATTAATCCAGGTTTAGATACTCAGGCTGTGATTAATCCAGGTTTAGATACTCAGGCTGTGATTAATCCAGGTTTAGACACTCAGACTGTGATTAATCCAGGTTTAGATATTTGGGTTGTGATTAATCCAGGTTTAGATACTCAGGCTACGATTAATCCAGGTTTAGACACTCAGTCTGTGATTAATCCAGGTTTAGATGTTCCAACTGTGATTAATCCAGGTTTAGATACTCAGGCTATGATTAATCCATGTTTAGATACTCAGACTGTGATTAATCCATGTTTAGATACTGAGTCTGTGATTAATCCAAGTTTAGACACTCAGGCTGTGATTAATCCAGGTTTAGATGTTTAGGCTGTGATTAAGACAGGTTTAGATACTCAGACTGTGATTAATCCAGGTTTAGATATTTGGGTTGTGATTAATCCAGGCTTTGATATTCAGGCTGTGATTAAGACAGGTTTAGATACTCAGACTGTGATTAATCCAGGTTTAGATACTCAGACTGTGATTAATCCAGGTTTAGATACTCAGACTGTAATTAATCCAGGTTTAGATGTTCCAACTGTGATTAATCCAGATTTAGATACTCAGGCTGTGCTTAATCCAGGTTTAGATACTCAGACTGTGATTAATCCATGTTTAGATACTCAGGCTGTGATTAATCCAAGTTTAGACACTCAGGCTGTGATTAAAACAGGTTTAGATACTCAGACTGTGATTAATCCAGGTTTAGATACTCAGACTGTGATTAATCCAAATTTACATACTCAGACTGTGATCAGTCCAGCTTTAGATACTCCAACTGTGATTTATCCAGATTCAGATACTCAGGCTGTGATTAATCCAGGTTTAGACATTCAGACTGCGATTTTTCTAAGTTTAAAAATTCAGACTGTGATTAATCCAAATTTAGATACTCACACTGTGATTAATCATGTTGAATGACCTCAAGTACAACTTTGAAAACAAGCAGAATAATTTCATTGTTGAAATATGAGCTACAGCCTATTGTTGAATCAGTATCAAGAAATAGTTTAAAATAGCATGTAATTGCGTACATGTAAATATACATGTTGTTACTATGAACACTAAGTGGCTCAAAATAATGGGGCAGTTTTACACAATTTATCAGATGCCAAGTAAAAATAATGAGGAAGCAAGTTGTACATATGAGATCCTGAGTCATAATTATGAGACTGGATTTCATTATTATGAGATAGAAAGTCACAATTATGGACTTCCGTACTCATATGATGGTTTAGAGTAATAAAATAAGAAAAATTTCCTTCCAAAATTTCCAAAACACCAAAACTTATGCAACAGCAGAATTCTGCAGCAAATGGTGTCATTAGGTAAAGCATTTTAGCCCTTGATAGAAACAAACTGGGCCGCAAAAGTCGTATTTTATGCATTTTTACTTTTATCGCTTGCAGTTTGTGCAGAAAGTCAATGGAAACTTTGTAGCCAAAATAACGACACAGCACTTTTGATTTTATACTACACCCTTACCCATTATATATCTAGAACCTTGTTTGGCCTTTCAGTGGAATTAATTCTTGTAATTCACCACAATATTACTCAAAAGAGTTACCAAAAAATAGGTACCTCACACTTACCCTAATACCTTAGCCTGAAAGACCTGATCAAGAGGACTTGACCATTTACATATAAGCCTTCAACAATAAACAACCCATAATCCTTATAATAGCTGCTAAAAAATTAGCATCTGACCTTTGTCCATCTCTGTAACCTCCATACGTCCTCTATCTTCAGCTCCTGGGATGCATAGCTCCTCTCTGGCTGGAAAGCGGCTACAGTTGAATGACACCGGCCATGGGAACCCAAAGGCGCTCATCACTGGGAGGCACCCATCCCGCACGCTGGTGCAGAGGCTTCGGCATGGAGGCACAGCCGCCGAGAGCTCCTCCAGGCATGCGGGTGCAAAAAGGGAGCAAAGGAACTTCCTGGTGTCGCTGTGGCACCGTTTGTTCACCAACGGTATCCACGCTGCGGCCTGCTGCTGCGCCTCCTTCACGCTGTCATGACCCAGGAGGTTGGGCAGCCTCAGGGCCCCGTACCCGATTCCGTGGCACAAGCCCATCGTGCTCGGCACGGGTTTGCAAACCGAGCGTGTTGTGCCAAATTCGGCCGACGTCACAAAGTCAGAAATGACACTGGCTGCTACTTCATCTAACCTAATGTCATCATCCGCCTTAGAAACAAGGACTCCGGAAGCTAGCACCAGCGCAAAGAGAGCCACGGAATGATCAGCCATCCTAGCCAGCATGAAGACACTAACTGAGCTAGCTAGGTTGGAGTGCTGACAAATGTTGGCTGGTCCTTGTCAAGTCGTAAAGCCAGAATTTTTGCGAGTTTATCACCAGGAAGCAGACACAGTGGTTGACACATGAGGTGGAATGTTTCTTTGAGTGCCAGAGAAAATACAATCACTACAGTAGGGAGAAACAGTGTTTTAACCACCGTCTCAAAAGCAAGAAAAGATCATGGTGAACTAAATAATATTCCTACAGCTGTGAACAGCTAGCTAGCCACCACACTCTCATTTATTCTCAGTAATAAATGCTACTAGAAGCAATCCTGAGAAATATGTCACTTATTTGGACTGAACCAGGAGTTAAAACTGATGCTGTTGCCTTGAATTGGGAGAGTCTTAAGCTGAGACAAATCATGAGGAGTCCAAATGGGGCCTGTTTACACCTTGCGTTAGCATGTGTTTTTAGCGATTCAGATTCCACTTGACCGCATAAAGGGTGGTGTAAACACCCCATGAAGCACTGTGGGCGGATTCTGGTCGGATCACTCAAACCACATTTCAGGGATGGTCAGAAACTGATCTTGACCACATTTTACACAATGAAATGAAAGATAGAGGATATGTGAGGCTGGAGTTCCCCAAATCAAGTCTTAATGCATTCTAGGTAGATAAAAGTGTTGAAGCCAAGCTTGTCCACTTGCATCGTAATGGGGAGAAAGAGTAAACACAAGTAAAATGGAAACAACATATGTGTTAATGTGTTTTTTAGCTGGAGGAAAAGTACAATCGGATCTCATCTGGTCAAACTGCATTTTAATGAAAATTTTAAATGGAATCCAGCCAAAGTTTATTTCATACATTGTCCACATACAGAAATACATCAGGTGAAAATAATCAAGACCTGACTTCTAGATCAAATTGCTAACTGCCAATGCTATTGAGAGAAGAGCCATCTGTGAGCCAAAAGAGTCGGTTCTTCTTTGTGAACGGAGCTGACTGATCAGACTCACTGAAGAGAGCCAGAATGCCCAACACTAGAATCATAAAAGTGACAAATGTGTTGATTATTTGAATGGTTTTTCCATTTTCCATTATTTTAATTATCATTTTCATTTAATATTATTGAATATTTAAAGAGGTTATATCCATTTGTAACAGTTTTGGATACAACAAGTTTTTAATAATAACTATTTCTCTAATAAAGGAGGTATTAATCATAATACAGCACTGATATTTCTTGTATGTGTAAAAGTCTGTCCAGACACAATGTAAACATGAAAAACATGTTGTAGGTTCATGGCCTACATTTGCTTGTCATTTTTCCCCCTGTCTGTGTGGGTTTGTAGAAGTTATATGTATAATATATAGTATACATAACATAGTAATAACATTTATATAGTTTTTAAAACTTTGATGTAATTTTTCAGTGTCTTCTTATCTCCAAAAATGTAACTGTTTTTGTTTGACTAGCAAAATTGCAGTCATTTCAATAGAAGAGTGATTTCATGTCCCTAACTTTCAGGGCGAATACATTTTGTGGGTGAAATTTCATGTTGTGAAATTGTGAACTTTGCCATTCAAATTCATTTACTTAACCAATAGCGCTACTGCTTTGTTGACATCTGAAGGGGCAGCGGGTTAATATAACAGCACTGAACCAGAGCCGGTTAAAGCCACTTCCTGTTTCTCCCGTTATATCAAGAACATGACTGCGAAACACTAGTGGGAGCCTGTGAGCGAGTCTTTGATGAATGGGGGTAAAAAAATAACGAAATTTTTAAATAGTTTCTAACCACTTGTGTGGGACTTTCATTTATTTCTGGAAAGTAGAAGGATGTGTTCCATTTAAAAAATCAAAGAAAACTTCTACAGCAAAAAGTTTTAGTCAGTAGGGCGCCAGCGTTACTGCTACTCAGTGCTGATTGGTTAGCATTACTGCTACTGAGTGTCAATTGGTTAGCATTACTGCTACTGAGTGTTGATTGGTTAGCATTACTTCTACTGAGTGCTGATTCGTTAGCATTACTGCTACAGAGTGCTGATTGGCTGGCATTACTGCTACTGAGTTCTGATTGGTTGGCATTACTACTACTGAGTGCTGATTCGTTAGCATTACTGCTACTGAGAGCTGATTGGTTGGCATTACTGCTACTGAGTGTCAAATGGTTAGCATTACTGCTACAGAGTGCTGATTGGCTGGCATTACTGCTACTGAATTCTGATTGGTTGGCATTATTACTACTGAGTGCTGATTCGTTAGCATTACTGCTACTGAGAGCTGATTGGTTGGCATTACTGCTACTGAGAGCTGATTGGTTGGCATTACTGCTACTGAGTGTCAAATGGTTAGCATTACTGCTACTGAGTGCTGATTGGCTAGCATTACTGCTACTGAATGCTGATTGGTTAGCATTACTGCTACTGAGAGCTGATTGGTTGGCATTATTACTACTGAGTGCTGATTCGTTAGCATTACTGCTACTGAGAGCTGATTGGTTAGCATTACTGCTACTGAGTGTTGATTGGTTAGCACTACTGCTACTGAGTGTTGATTGTTTAGCATTACTGCTACTGAGTTCTGATTGGTTGGCATTATTACTACTGAGTGCTGATTCGTTAGCATTACTGCTACTGAGAGCTGATTGGTTGGCATTACTGCTACTGAGTGTCAAATGGTTAGCATTACTGCTACTGAGTTCTGATTGGTTAGCATTACTGCTACTGAATTCTGATTGGTTAGCATTACTGCTACCGAGTGCTGATTGGCTGGCATTACTGCTACTGAGTTCTGATTGGTTAGCATTACTGCTACTGAGTGTTGATTGGTTAGCATTACTGCTACTCAGTGCTGATTGGTTAGCACTACTGCTACTGAGTGTTGATTGTTTAGCATTACTGCTACTGAGTGTTGATTGGTTAGCATTACTGCTACTGAATTCTGATTGGTTAGCATTACTGCTACTGAGTGATGATTAGTTGGCATTACTGCTACTGATTGCTGATTGGTTAGCATTACTGCTACTGAGTTCTGATTGGTTGGTGAGCTGTTCAGCTCATTGGCTGAGTGAAGCAGTATAAACTATGTTTTTGCACCAAAGCCAGATTGGAACCCATTCATTTACTGTTTGTCGCAGATGAGTTAGCCAGCTCACTAACTGCTATGTAGGCTCCCCGACTGCCGTCAACCATGTCAGTTGTCTAAATAATTTTGCTACAGATTCGAGGGCAGCTTTACACTCTTGTGAATCTATAATTTAGTCTACATTTGTGTTGTTTCTGTTTATGGTTAGCAACTTGGCTAGCTTGCTAACCACACCAACATGGAGGACGGTTTCGTTGTTCAGTCTCGCTCTTTTTGCAAGGTGATACAAATAACTAGTGTGAGTGTGGCTAATATGTAAATGACCCCTGCTCTGATTGGCTGTCTAGGGTTAGGGTTAGGGTTAGGGTTAGTATTGAGCTGTTTTCAACACTCCTGAAACTGGGTTGAAACGTGTCCACAACTGATTTAGACTATATATATAAATATATAAAATATTTATATAACAAGTTTTTTGTGACATCACAAAAACAGTGAATTCAAAGCAGCAGAAGTTTGCCTAATGTTTTTTCAGCTTAATTTTTCCAAAATGAACTGTTTGGACTGGTAAGTAAATGATGTTTACATACTCATATACATCAAACTCTTATTCCAAAAAAGAAGAACATTAATTTTTTCCAGACCCTATAGGCCCTTTAATGCAAGATGTAAACAAGATGTCTCATTTTATGTGTATTTTAACAGTTAGCTACAGTCACTTAGCTCTTTGCACATCACAAGCACCAGAGGCTTAAATCTGGCTTGCATTATTTACGTCTTGCAGTGGGTGATCTCACTTTACGAGTTGACGATGACCTACCAAATGCATCATTTATTCCAGAGGCTTGGCCACATCCTGTGGGTCCTCAGCTCAAATACATGCTTTCCAGGCCCGTTTATTGCAGGTCATAAAAAACCCTCTGTTACTCCATTACTACTCAAAGGCACTGGTTTCCATTGTCCACCCTACTGAAAACTACAGGTGCAGTATGCTATACATTTTTATGGAGTGATGAGCAATGAGTATACTGATCAGTCAAATGCTTGAGTGATGCTCGATTGAGCTGTAGGCCTGCAAGATCTGAAAATAACATCAAAGAAATAAACGTGTAATTTAACCAGCTGATATTACAGTGGCACGGTCATGCTCTTTGTCAAGTGCCACAAACCTGCCCTGTATAAATTGATCTGAGCTAATAATAGGAAGATATGCTTAATGGGGTCGGATCACCGGGTTGTCCTACAGTCAACACGCCCAGCTGCTTAGGGTAGTGAATGTAAAGCACTAACTGTACTTTGGCACTGTATGATCCTTAAATGTAGTGATATATTTACTGAAATTCACTGACAAACTGTGACTATTAGAGTTGGGCCTTCAGTTTGGGCCAATAAGGAAAAACACATCAACAATAATGCTAATTTTTGGTAGCTGGATTTAAGTAGCATATTAGCACTAAGCTAACAGCGATGCACATGAACACTTTTAGACATTCTAGATTAAATGCGGATATTTAAATCTTGTTTAAAACATTCTTTGTTTTATTAAAAGCAAACAGATATATTAACACATACTTTACCTTATTTGTTTCCAATGACCTGCATTGAGCTGTTGATGTTTCCCATTTCTGTCAACTGACTGAAACACACTGGTCAGGCTACCACTCGTACTCACAGTATGTGACATATCTAGAACTTCCAGAAGACCTAGCGTAATGTTTCTTCCTCATAGAACTGGTCCCACCCATTGGAAATCAGAAAATGATTCTACTGACACTTGCTAATTATGCTGGTGGTTAAGCTGACACATTTGGCCTTCAGTTCAGTCTCTAAAGTGCTAATTAGTGAGAGAACTAGCTTGGCCATATCTACCTAGATACCCCAGAGGAAAAAATCCAAATTAAATCATTTTCAGTTTGGCGTT